GATTATATGCTTGTGTTTTTATTTCATGCCAGTCGTACAACCAACCTCTCTCGATCAGCTACTCATTATCGCAATGGTGTACCTTGTAATATCTACGCAGAAACAAGCACAATGATTACCTTAAAAATCGCGGAAGGCTTACTCCAATGTCCTTAAAATGTTCTTAATATGGTATGAGGTTATTCAAAAATGAATCTGCATAAACTCTACGGTATCATCATTTGTAAGTATACGCAATCTTTCGACCACCTTTTATGTTCGATTTCTACACAATCGTAGGCTGTTCATGAGCTTAAATGTACTCCGCATATGAAAAGGGTGACTTTATCACTATGTCTTGAATAGAAAAACCCGTTAAGAGCAAGATGGTTTGGAGTCTGATGCACCTGTTGTGGCCAGTCCTTAAAGGTTTGTATACGATCCTCACATTTAATCATTGACTAATAATCTGCTCGAATCTGATATGAAGTATGGCGGATACAATCTGTTGTAATATCTGACATGTCAAAATCTGTGTATCAAAGTGCAAACACACTGTAAGCTTTCCGATAGAAACAGCGTGTTTTTTTTTTAAATCTCCTGTTATTTTTATACTCTTGCCATCTGATTTTAGGGTGTGGAAAGAATTGAGATTTTAAGAATTTAATTATGCTTACAATGTATTGAAAGAAGGAACCTTGGATATGCATGATTTCTTTTTTCTTTAGATTAAATTGATGCTTTATTTAAACAGGTGTAGTATGAGGTTCCATTTTCCTGATACATTTTCATGTACATATCATCAGAATTGGAATAAAACAGAGAGCAGCTTCAGATATCATGATTCCTGTTTAGTGTTTAGTGAATGATTCCTGTTCAGTGGTTAATGAATTGGGTGTTTCAATAAATTGATCGGTTTAATCATATAGGTTCTGAGTGTTAAGTTGCATCACTTTTAGTGGGATCAAGTTTCAAAACGCTTTAGGTTAACAACTTCAAATCGAGTGTAAAGTTGCACAACTTCTAGTGAGGTAAACTTTCAAAATGCCACAGGTTATCAACTTCAAATGTATAGATTATGAGTGTGATGTTGAATAACTTCTACGGATGATTATTTTTTCTAATTGCTTTAGGTTAACTAGATGTGAACCATCTACTATACAAAGTGGTGTGTGTGCTGATTATGAAATCCTATTACTGTTCATCAAATATTAATCTTATATCTTTTACATCAATTGTGATACTTTATTATAAGTTATATAGTTTTATTTCTATTGTATAAACAAAGTACCTCAAAGGGATTTAGTTTGAATAAAACTATGTTACGAAAAGTCTTTTAGCTGAATTATATAAACTATTCTTAGTGTTTGTTGTACTTCTTTGAATAAACTCTAATGTGTGCTATGTTAAAAATGTTTCCACATATTGAAGTTATAAATGAATATCTGTGACATTATATGAACTTTTAAAAGTAAGAAAACTTAATTTTACATTATCAACTCTCATTTTTAAAAAACCAAATCCTAAACCTACTTTTTGTCAATATTTAAAAAAAAAAAAAAAAAATGAAAAGCTTAACTTATTTTCATTAATGTTTAATAGAATATTGTGTATATATTGTTGATTAGAAAAGTTTTTTAATTGGGCATACTATGAAACATAAACATTGTCGTATCTACTAGTCCTAGCCTTTGGCTATGGTGATGATTGAACTCACACATTTGTAAATTTTATCTCTCACCTGATCTACATATGTCGCATTCAGCGGTCATCTGGATTTGTTAAAATATAAAACTATTGATAAAAAGCATGTTCGTTTACACACAATTTAATGATTTAAATATACATACTGACGAAATGTTCACGTTTACAATATAATAAAGACAAGACAGACAATCAGTCAACATTTTAATAACAATACATGGGTTAACGAATACATACTCGAGCTGTTGTCTTAAAAGTCTCCACATAAATTAATAAAAAATGATAGTCGTTATGGTTTTATGAAGCGACTTTCTAACCGGTGCATAGATTGAATGATTTCATTAATCCTCTTTCTGCGCCGCATTTTTTTTTAGTTCCCTACTTCTCCATTCTGAGCTAGACACATTTGAAATATAATCGTTTCTGATTTCATTGTGAATTTTCCATCGATTCACTTCCTCTATAAAATGTCTTATAACATCATTTTCAAATGATTGTTGATACAAGTAAAAAGCATACACAAAATTAAATATACACGTGTCATATGGGTGCGTGTAGATGATACCAATGGGCCAAGGGAGGCAACTGTAATTACAATCTGTATAGGGAGGATCTGGGAGGATCTGACACCGGTATTATACCCCTACTTCTAGGTCAATTTTTTTTTTATAAATGTATTCATTATTAGATATTCAATTGTTCTTCAAGACTTAACAATTCCTCTGTACTTTCGTATCTTTGAATGTTCTTTGTCGCTTAAAACTGGAGAAAAAGCAATATGTACTGCGTAATGTAATCATTATCCTAATTGTATATTTACATACAATGTATCGCTGTTAAAATTAGCATCAATTCTTGAGTAAGACCTTTGATTCTTTTGAATGCATGTATTGACAAACACTAGTCTAAAAAATTGTGTAAATCAACATTTTTTAAATTTTCGTTCTTATACTCATATCAGTACTTTACGATACCATCTGAGGAAAACAAACAAAAAGACCGGTAGTTAATGCTAACAGTTATTTTTGACTCCATACAGCCACTAATTTGACACCTTCTTCTAATTTCTTGAGGCAATCCAACAGATCAATAAAAATGTTTTTAACATTGCTATTAACAAGTGCCACTAGATCAGTTAAAATTCTGAAATGTCCATCATGTATGATCTTAAATTATTCAAAAGCCACTCATGTTGTTGTCCAGTTCATATAAGAAAAGAAAGAGATAAGTTGTATGGGTCTTGAAACCTCTGCTGACCCTCTTCATTACAATTGGTACGACTGCCCAGCATGTAGCGTCATGATCACTTTTTAACAGAATGATTTACAAATCAGAATATTTCGATAAAAAAAATATCCCTTGAAAAATGGAATGGAGTAATAGCAGATACAGCTAAGAAAAGAAAGTGGAAGGAAAAATTAAATTGCAGTACAAAATATCTCAATATGGACGGCAGAGCGATTTCTGTTATATATATATAGTGATTTAATAACGCCAATACTTGATTTGCATGTATTTCTGAGGTGCTTTGAAAACAACGAAGCAGGGTAGATCCACTGCGGCAGGGTTCAATATGGGGTTAGGGCAACTTAGGGGAGACCAGGGCAACTTAGGGGAGACCGGGGCAACTTAGGGGAGACCGCGGCAACTTAGGGGAGACAAGGGCAACTTAGGGGAGACAAGGGCAACTTAGGGGAGCCCAGGGCAACTTAGGGGGGCCCGGGGCAACTTAGGGGGGGCCAGGGCAACTTAGGGGCGACCAGGGCAACTTAGGGGGGCCCGGGGCAACTTAGGGGAGACAAGGGCAACTTAGGGGAGACCGCGGCAACTTAGGGGAGACAAGGGCAACTTAGGGGAGCCCAGGGCAACTTAGGGGCGACCGGGGCAACTTAGGGGGGGCCAGGGCAACTTAGGGGGGCCCGGGGCAACTTAGGGGAGACCAAGGCAACTTAGGGGAGACCAGGGCAACTTAGGGGAGACCAGGGAAAGTTTGGCCCTCAGGTAACTTCGGCCACTCCTGACGTTTTTGGTCTTGAGCAAATATTTACAACTTTGAGGATCTTATGGAAAAAATTGCGGACAAACTATAATTTTAGATTACTTAAAGGGACAAAAATATTTTTTGGGAGTGTAGAAAAAATCATTACCTCACTTTCTGGTTGTGCAAACTTTCTGTAAACCGAAATGCTACTTATTAATGCCATACGTGTAACAAACCGACAGCTTCACATGATGGTAAATAAAAGTCAATCATTGAGTTTCGTATTACTATATGATATACAGATTTCTTAAAATATCAATTTGGGGCAGGTTCGTCACATGACACCGGGGCACTAGGTTCGGCCCATGCCATACACGGGAAGCCGTGAAATATTTATGCCGTCATACTTATGCTTATTCCAATGTGGGCCGAACTTACCACGACAGCTTCACATGATGGTATATACATGTATAAGTCAAGCATTGAGTTTCGTATTGCTATGATATACAGATTTCTTAAAATATCGATTTGGGGCCTTACCCAAAGGGGTGCACATTAGGCCGTTCACTCTTCCGACAGTAAAGAGTTAAATAACACTTCAATAGGACATATGCATGTTTGCCCTTCTGTTATGGTTTTATAAAGGGCATGGAATTTCTCTTCCGAATGGTGTAAATACACATCAATTTTAACAAATGCTATGGGCCAAACTTGCCCCTGTCTTCCCAATATTTTGAAAGAAAATCCTACAGGCTGGCAGGGGTTTAGGGAGGGATGATGACTCCTTAGATACCCCACCCCCTACTATTTATATATATATATATATATATATATAGAACGGTACCTCCATTAATCATACAAGGATTGGTTTCTAGCTATTTTACCGACTGTAAATAAAATGAAACAGTTAAATTATGCAGAAAACTGTATTTTCATGTGTGCCCGCTGACTAGGTCTCACCTATTTCATTTTATTTCAATTGAGTTTATGAGCAATGGTTAAGAGGTAGGCAGATGATATTTCCCCCCCTAGCTAAATGCATCTTTTGTTTTATTGAGTAAAATATGATATTCCAGTAACCAGAAAATCAGAAACATTAATATCAGAAACATTAATATTTTTCTATAATTTTTTTCGATTTACAGTTTCTCACGTTAACGTGTTAAATGACACATCATCATCATCATCATCATCATCATCATCATCATTTAGCATTATCATCATCATCATCATCATCATCTTCATCTTCATCATCTTCATCTTCATCGTCGTCGTCGTCGTCATCATCATCATCATCATCATATCATCATCATCATCATCACCATCATCATCATCATCATCAATCATCATCATCTTCCTGGACAGGAATTAAGTCCTTGTGGAGTGTGTTACCAGACATAACTGTTACATGATTCATTACAACGGTCATGGTTTTGTAGTCCTATCATTAGTAAGTCCCCACATGGATACCACTAAAGAGAGAAACAGAGAGGGCGTTGATGTCGTTGTTTATCAAACGCGCGACAGACCGCGTTGTGATCTTACTCGCTTCGACATTGAGGCGATCCAGCTCGCATGCACGCAAGTCACCGACGGTCACTTTGTGAAATAAGAAAAAAAATAAGGAGCCGCAAAGAAACTTCCACCCCTGTCAAGTTTCCTCAGAGATATACTGCATAGTCTGGTAAATACTGAAATCCCCTATTCATAATTCAACTACAGCAGGCCTTCCTCTTCGCGGTTTCTCCTTCACTATTTCCCCACCTCCTTACTGAATCTCAGAGGCTGATGAACTCTTTGGAAATCATCGACAATGATCTAAAATCGAACAACTTTAATTGGGTTAATTCTGTTTTGTATAATACCCTAAAATACACGAAATTGGATGAATATTGCGGGTAATATCTTATCATTCGGAAACCCTCGGATATTTTCACTTAAGTTAAAGTCAGCAATATCCTGTCTGACAACAAGGAAACAACTTTCAATGTATTCCTCTTTAAAATTGCAGTTATGATCTGATCAGTATTTTCAATGAGGCCTAATGCTGTACTCTCGGTCAACACGTCGGCGTCCCACCTGAAAACTTTTAATATTTTTCTTTTGATTGCATCAAAATCTATGCTGTAGATCTATGTAGATAGCGGAGGTAATTATTTTAACATTGCTGCTGCAGTTCTAGGATTTGAACCCATGGGGGACCTACTGTTTACTAGTCTTATGCTCTACTAAATGACGTAGAAAAATTCTCCGTAGCTTAGTCTGTAGGATGTGGCTACTTTTTTACCAGGATGTCATACTCCTCCAGACAAATAAACGTGTCCATAATTTTCGAGCCCTGGATCAAAGCAACCTTTTGAAAATATAGCCGAGTATTTTTGTAAATATTTTCTGGGTCCCTACTGTACATAATTGATATCAACCTAGCTAGAAGAGGTCCTTCAAGGAAATTAGGTGGTTATATTGGAATCGTCATGTCTGACCATCCAGAATATTAATAAATAAATAAATATACAACATTTGATATAGCGCTGTATCTAGCTAACATAAGCCATTCTAAAGCCCTTTACAGTACATAGATATACAATTCTATATAGTCAATACAATTAGCATATATATATATATTATTCAATACAATATTGAGGAATTCGCCGGAGCTGCCTTATCAGGCGCTAACTACTAGTCCTATGCCACCTGGCTAATATCTCCCTATGTGTATGTGCTGGAGATGTATTGTGTTCTGTTTGTAGTAGGACCGTGCTTCCAACGGTATCATTTATAGTGCCACCTCACTTGAATGCTACAGCACAGATACCGCATCACCCACCCCAGACCATTTTATATTCCACCTGGGTTGTTGGAGTTGTGTGGGCAGGAGAAAAACCCTTTCTCTGAATATTCCATGCGTACGGCGACTTCAGGGTTCAACCCCCGGCCGCCGCCACTCGACCAATCTGCCCATTGTGTCAAGTATATTCCTGAAGGGATTTCTCTCAAATTTAGCATTGCATATACTTCTTTCCTATGGTATATAAAGTTGTGCACTTGCGCTCTTCATTAAATTTGGACAAAATTTCTTAGAGTTATGCCCCTTATTGTATAATTTCTCATCCAGAATATATTGTGTCAAGTGTATCTTTTAAAGCTGTCCTGTAGTATCTCATACTTGATAACTTGCCTTTTATGTGATGTTCGGCCTCAATATTCCAGGAGTTACGTTCACTTCGCTCTCTGCACCCCTCTGTGCTCAAATATTTTATTGTGTCGGCCACAAGGTGGTGAACACTGAGTCTTCAATTTTGCTATGACATATTCTGGGGTGCAGAAAGCGTAACCCCTGGAGTACAGAGGATGTCTGATGTTGTGCCCTTCCGTATGTTGTCAAATTTGGACAAATTTTCTAAGAGTTATACCCCTTTTCATATTACTTCTGTCCAGAAAAACGTATGTAATATGTTCATTGATATACACTGAAAGCAATTTTGTCTGCACAACTCCTCCTACAGCTGAATTTCATTTAACTTCACTGATGTAATCCACACTCTCTGAAGTTGATGTGCACCTGCGATTAAATTTTGATCTGGCAGGTTATGTGGGAGTTATATGCTCCATTTTACGAAAGTTAGCCAAAAATCTGTATGGGGACAATTATAGTTTGCAAGTACATTATGGGATTGTGGGGTATCAAGTCAAAAAGTAGGTCACTGTGGCCTATTGTTTGACCTTTCACCTCAGCCTTTGAAAAATGTTGTCCTGGGCATAATTTCTATACTCTTTCACCTGGTCCAACCTGATTTGGTATGCAAGTTCATCTTGGGATGTCGGATTGTAGAGTACTAAAGAAGGTTACTGCATCCTATAATTTGACCTTAACCTTTGAAAGGTTTTGTCTGTGGCATATCTTCTTTACTATTTACCTGTAAGCTAGAGTAACCAGATTTGGGATGCAAATATCTTCTTGGGATGGTGAAGTGCAAATTACAAGAAGTATGTTACTGCGACCTATGCTTCGACCTTTAACCTAAACCGTTTGAAACAGTTTGTCTCAGCATATCTTCTATGCTATTTCACCTGGAGTAGCCAGATTTGGGATGTAAATATCTTCCTGGGATGGTGAAGTGCAAATTACAAGAAGTATGTTACTGCGACCTATGCTTCGACCTTTAACCTCAACCTTTTGAAACAGTTTGTCTAAGCATATCTTCTATGCTATTTCACCTGGAGTAATAAGATTTGGTTTAGTTTGGTTAAATTTTGTTTAACGTCCTATTAACAGCTAAGGTTATTGAAGGTCGTGCCTCCATGTGTGTAATGTATGCGTGCTTGCGTGTGTGTATGCAGGAGACAGGGTATATTGGTGTGCTTGCCTCCTTGTGAAAATGCGGATCTGATGCTGACTTTATAGTGCTATCTCACTGAAATGCCATGCCAAAGGCGCCAAGCACAGTATTCCACCCGGTCACATTATATTGACAACGAGTGAACCAATTGTTGCCATTCCCCTTAATGCTGAACATTAAGCAGGGAATAACAACTACCATTTTAAGGACTTTTGTATATGTCCCGGCCTGGGGCAGAACCCATTGCCTTCTTTACCTGGGCGAACATTCAACATTCAAGCCAAAATGGCAAAAGTGGAGTAACAAGATTTGATATGCATGTACATCATGGGATGAGGGAATGTTGAATACAAAAAGTAGGTCACTGTGACCTGTGTTTTTGTCTTTGACCTCAACCTTTGAGAAAGTTTGTTGGGGCCTATAGCTATCTTTTATTAATTTTTCTGGACTAACCAAATTTGATTATATGCAAATATGCTTTGGCTGGGGGAGTACATGAACTTTGTCACTGAAACCTATATCCTAAAATACGTGTGCAGCTCAGTAAATAAGGAAACCATTACTGGTGGGGGACTATTGATTGCTTTAATTTCAATACTTTGCCTTGGTTAGCCTTTGGCTTACAGTTCTGGTTTATTTTGAAGGGGGGTTTTAGTTAGCATTTGGTTTACAGTTCTAGTTATGTTTTCAATACATCTACTAGAGATTGAACCCTGAACCTCTGTTTACCTGTTTGATGCTCTACTGAATCATGAATGAGCAAATTCTCTAGTGTTCCAACTTCACAGACCCATGATTCAGTGACAAGTATTGTAGTGATGGAGCACTTAATGGTGGTCTATAAAATCAATTTTCTTCCTACATTATTACAAACATTTTCTGAATAACATATTCACAAGCACTAAATATGCAATTATGATTTCTTGGTAAATATCTGGTCAATAAAAGGATTGGAAATAATTTGAAATCTATATATCACATAGACCGTTTATCTATGGTGTCTTACATTCCAGATTCTAAGACTGAGAATTCTCCCAAGTTGGTAGAAAGTGGCTAGTACATTGTTATAGCAGCAGAAATCACTGCAGCTAAGTTAAGGTGATCAAATATTGTTAGAAGAATTGTCCTTGAATGAAATTTTGTTATGAATGTTATGCAACCCATTTGGTGTCTTGTTATACAGGAATGTAAACTGACAAGATGAGCACAAAGCCGCCACAGACTCGACACAAGGTGTTCCCACCCCAACGTATGCACACGAGGTCAAGGTCAAATGTCAACACAGACGCTATAATAGGTTCAACGATTGTCAGATCCGACACCACTGTAAGTCCACAGTCTACACAGAGAGAAGAGAAAGGGACAGATCAGGACACAAAAGACAGACAAAGTAAGATACATATAGTACCGGTAATCATATATATAGAGGTGGAATGTTATTAGGCCAGAAATAAATGTTTTTTCTTTCCTGACCAACCAAATTTTTACCTCAAATCATACTCTTTTAACAGGCTATCCGGTTTGTTTAGATAAAAAAAAAATGATCCACTTTCAAAGTACAAGTTATGTGTATTTGAATTATTATAATGATTTCTACACAATCATGAGGTGTAGCAGGCTATTATCCAAGTTGATTGTATGATGGTAAATGGGTAACTTACCTGCTATAATTAAGGGAATGATTTCCCCTCTTTCATAAAATTTCCCTGAAAAGTTTAACAACAAACAAAGAAAATGCAAAATGCTGACATGACTGTATTATCATTATCAATATTTTAACAAAGTCTTTTTGTTTAAATATTGAGGTATATTCTCTTGTTGTGATTTTAGTAAACTAAAGAGAAACTTACAATACTTATTTACCATCTAACATGCTCATTTAAAGTACAAAGACATTTCCCTCTATTTTCAATAAAAAGGCTCTTGATTGGGAAAAAAAAAATATTCCCTGTGTAGAGTCCTAATATTTGTCCTATAGATTTCTGGGATGGAGAGCTATCAATTGTATTGAATTTAATGACCTTGACCCCATGTCAAAGTCACAATGGAGAAAAATTAATGATAATTAAGTAGGAAAAATAAGTGAGCTATCAATGAAACCCAATGGGCCTCTTGTTTCCAATAGAATGATATTTTGTAGATAAAAACCTTAAAATATAGTCAAAATGTAGGTGTTATCTGCAAACATGATCTAGGCCAGATATGAGTGTAGTTTTAGCAACACCTTTGACTACATATTTTTGTTTTGTACAGGTAAGCTGATTACCTGTGATACCTGTGGAAATCTCTTCGAAACCTTGGGCGGGCTAAGGAGACACCAGGTCACTCATATAAAGAAACAAATCTACAAGTGTGCAAAATGTCAGCAGGATTTCACACTTAAAGTTGAACTGTCACGGCACATGCAGACACATGTTAGTACCTATACAGGGGACAGTGATTCTATTTCTGTACACCAAGTGGAGACAAATCTAGTATCCCTGCTAAAAGGTCCTCCTCAAGTAGACAGGTTGCAAGATTTTCAAGATAACCTTAACATAAAGGAATCCATTACAATTCAAAAACTTGGGGACACAAATTCTGTATCTGAATTTCAACTTGACCAACAGAGTAAGGGTAATATTTCTGAAACCAAGAATCTCGCACAAGGAACAGAAAACATGGAAGAGGTTTGTCATGCAGAACAAGAATCCATCATAGCCGAGGGCAAATCTGACCTACTTTTAGAACAGGTTATAGAGCATTGTTTAGCTGCAGATGAAATTCAAGCTTCAGAAGTTACTGTAAAAGAGTTAGGACAAATCCAGCCATCATCTACCCTTGGTCCAATCCAGCCATCATCTACCCTTGGTCCTGTTGGTAAGAACCAAGAATTGACTAACATTGTCACAGCCGAGAATGAGACATATGTTACCGTAGAACATGATAACGATATCACAGATCTACTTCTCCAAGATGACTGTTTCAAAGCTTCCAACCAACAAACTTTATGTTCTTCAAATTCTCAGAGAGAAAATCAGAAAGCCACTTCTATGGACATCAAATCCAGCACTTCACTCTTGTCCATCGGGCAATCGGACATGGTGGTGAGGGGCAACACTGCTAAGTTAGTAAATTACAGTAAAGAGTTGGTCACCAGTGGTCAAACTGTCAACACAACCGTTCATAGTAACTTGACCAGTGGTCAAACTGTCAATACAACCGCTCATAGTAACATGACCAGTGGTCAAACTGTCAATACAACCATTCATAGTAACTTGACCAGTGGTCAAACTGTCAATACAACCGCTCATAGTAACATGACCAGTGGGGTCACGACAATAGGTCATTTAAAGGCAGCACCTAGTGTGCCAAATCAACTTGGTGAAGAAAGTGCAAAGCTGGCTCAGCTGTCTGACAAACATGTTAGTATTAAGTCTCATTTCTCGAAGGAAGACATCGACAAGGAAGTCACTGATGATCCAGTAAGTAGGAACAGACTTGTGTTCAGATAATAACTGCAAAAAGGACAGGTCTGAATAAATATTCTTCTGAGATAAACTTAGTATAGTGCTATTCTTGCAATACTGGCAGATATTACAATACCTTTCATGTGATATAAGAGATATATATTTTATATTGAAACAATTAACATAACAATATATTTCCTATGGTTCACATACATACATATCACAATGTCATTTCAAAGATAAGATACACATCACTCTGAAAGAAGAAGTATTTTAGTCTAGAATGTAAAAACAGAAAAAAGTTAAGTTACAATATGAAAATATATACATCCGCTATAGATAGAGAGGTCTGAGAACTCTCTGGTTATGTTGACTGGTAACATTTCCTTTTGTCCAGCAAGTATACTACTAATTAGTTTCAATGTCATACTAAGGTCATAGCTTTGCTTAACCTAGGTCCTTGGTTTGGTATCTGGACTTGTCAAGTTCTGTCCTGATTTGAGTGAAACTGATTACACAGAAGTGGCCAAGGTGACCGGTGTCACGGTCATCATGCTGGACAAACAGAAAATCGTCGTCCATGGTTCCTGGAAAGCTCTGAACCGGGCCTACGCAATGATAGAGGTAAGATGAGAAATTTTTCACCTTTAGGAATTATTTCACTCTTTTATAGGTCCTGGTCCATAAAATGAGAAGGACCTGTTCTCTATCCCAATGACTGTTTCCAATTTGTAAATTCCTACTCAAAAGAAAGATAACAAATGTCTTGTCTGGTCATTTTTGTTTACAGTATCATGTATGACAAAAGTAAGTTTGTACTTAATTTAGGGACTGTAATTTTACTCCGTAGATAAATCATTTTATTAGCTCACCTTGCATGAAGTGCCTGTGAGCTCATGGTATGGTGTGCTGTCCTTCGTCTGTTTGTCATCTGTCGTCCGTTGTCCATCAACTTTTTCTTTAAATGACTTCTTCTTAAGAACTTGAGGACCTAGTGCCATGATATTTGGTTAGTAGGTACCTGGGACGGAGTGCTATAAGAATTCCTCAAATAAATGAACGTTACTTACTTTCAAGGTTGCAGGGGTCAAGTATATAAAAATCTTGAAAGAAATTCTTCTTAATTTCCAGGAGGCCCAGAGTGCTGATACTTGGCATGGAACGCTATACATTTGCTCAAATAAATGACATTGGCCTTCTTTCAAGACCACGGGGGTAAAATGTGTTAAAACCCCTTGAACAACTTTTTCTAAATAACCAGAGGACCTAGAGTACAGATATTGTACATGGGACAGAGTACTATATTGTTGTTCTCCAGTTAATGACCTTGACCTACTTTCAAAGCGACTGTGGTCAAATGTATAAAAATAACTTCTTCTGAATAATCAGGAGATAATGATATTTGGCCAGTAGGTACCTTGGGTGTAGTGCTATGAACATTTCTCAAATGGATGACCTTGACTTATGTTGAAGGTCACAGAGGTTGAATATATTATAACCTTTGAAAGACTTCTAAATTACTAAGATACATATGGTGATGATATTTCGCCAGTAGCATGCTGTGATGTGGGGGTATTAACTGTCCTCAAATAATTGACCTTAACCTACTTCCAAGGTCACAGGCATCAAATATGCAAAAACCTTTAAGAAACTTCTTCCTAAAAACGAAGAGTGCCATTAAAGAAATGACAACTTACTTAACTAAATTTAGTATGAAATATCCTTGGACCAAGAGGACTCAACGTTGCTTAATGGAGAGTCTGGCTCTCCAAAGTGAAGCATGATGGGGCTCAAAAGAGGTTCCCAGAGAACAATCTTTAAATTTCTCCTTCAGTACAGATAAAGTGATCTCAATTATTTAGTCTGGAACATTCTTCAGCCGAGATACCTCAATATGTTGAAATATTTGCAAAATTACTTTTATTGAGAAGATACAGGCCTCTTGTTTTATTTTCATCATTTTCATGCTAAATGGAATATCTTTGGCCAAACTTTTGTGCTCTTTTATCATGAATGAAAAAACACAATATATATCATTGCAAAGCGACTTTAACTGTAACATCATTTCGGTGTTATTTAAGCTATGAATGTTGCCGGGCTTTACTAAGTTTCTGCACACACCAAAGCATAAAATGTACATTGCTTGATGTCAGATATGTAGCAAGAATTTAAGAGAAAAAGGAAAACGTATAAATGAAAAATATTCCATTGATTACTGATGAGGTGTAGGCTTTCATTTCAGAATTTACAGGTGGAGGCCAAAAAGGAAAGAGAATGTGTTACAGTGACTTCCCCTATGGAGTGTGTTACATTAAGCTCCCCAGTGGAATGTGTTGAAGTTACCTCCCCTGCAGACTGTGTCATGGTTGCGTCCCCTCTAGAATCTAGTGAAGATCAACTCAAACAAAGTAAGACATTCGAGTAATTAGAAATTTGTGGCAGTGCAATGCATTATACAATTATGGACTTAAGTTTCGGTCTATCCCTGGCTTGACATTCATTAGCAGGTGACAGTGAATATTGTCAACCCGAGAAAACCATTGTCACCCGAGGCAAAGCCGAGGGTGACAATGGGTTTTCTCGGGTTGACAATATTCACTGCCATCTGCTAATGTCTCATGGCAATATCACCTGCGCCCCTTAAAACCAATGTATTTTCAGAGGGTGACAGATTTTTGTTTAATTTTCTCCCAACCAATCAAATAGCTAGAAATTCACTTGAGGTGTAACAAATACAAAATAACATACACAAAAATTGAATTTCAGATTCAATTCATGTGATATTTAATTTCAAGTAAATATTGTTTGCACAATCGACATCATCAATATTCACATAGTTCAGAATTTGATGAGATAATTCATTTGTAGTTGAATTCAGCTGTGTGATTGGTAACAGAATTACAGACTGGCTGGGGAATTACCTAGGCCTATTTTTAGTAGCGGTCTGCAACACTTTTCTATTTATAGGTCGAGGTCTGTAACGCTTTTCTTTTCAAAGAACGAGGTCTGGAACAGATGATTTGATTGCAATTGGCTGTTAATCAATGTCTTGGAAATTACCCAGGTCTATTTTTAGTAGCGGTCTGTAACACTTTTCTATTTATAGGTCGAGGTTTGTAACACTTTTCTATTCATAGAACGAGGTCTGTAACATATTTACAGACTCGTCACATGACGTTGCTCCTACAATCAGGGCTGGGAATTAGCACCAGTCATATAATAAAAGATGTTAAAGACTTTTTTCCCCGTTTTTGGTGTTATTTTCAAAGAGAGCAAACATGTTTGTTATTTATACATCCATGTATTTGTTTAAGATGGAGTAGAATCCGGTTTGATGGTTGCTGATGATTCTGACCCTGACGTTGCCATAGAAACCAGTAATTCTGTGGACTTGGATAACTTAACCCCTATTTCTATGATGGAACCAGACACATTCCTGTGTGACAAGTGTTCCAAGCTGTTCTGGAGCAGGCGTTCCCTCCAGGAACACATCGCCTTACGACACAGTGAACACAAGTGTAAAATGTGTAACAAAGTTTTCAGTGAACGTCGATATCTGCAGACACATCTCAAGAGACATGCAAATGTTCGTAACTACACATGTTCAATCTGTGGGTGGAAGTTTATGGAGCGTTTCAAGATGAAGTTACACATGGAGTCTCACAAGGAACGGAAGGATCGTCGTCTACCGTACAAATGTACAATGTGTGGTAATCAGTTTTATAACCGGGCCAGTTGGAGCGACCACCTCAACACACATACAGGTATATCCTCATTTTGTCCTAATATTTATGATTTTTTGAAGGAATAAAAAACAAAAATGAACCGAGTTCTATCAAATGGATAATTTAAAAAAAAAAAAGTAAATGAAACTGAATTGCTGATGTGTTGGTTTTGCTCCAATCTTACTGAGGTTAAGTTGGCTTCATGAAAGGTTGGTTGTCAATTCTTCACACGTCTCAAATAATTATCATTTATCAGAGGTATGTTTGATGTTCAAGTCAACTGAATAACATCGAAATAGTTTTAATACTTCTTTAGTACTTCTTTCCACATTGAAGCTTTATGTGATGACTACATGTACCTATCAGGCGAGTTGGACTTGTATTCACTTAAGGTCTGATGGGTTGGGGGTCATATTCTATATTAATGTGTAGAAAACACTTGCAGTGGAACAATTGTATAAATTCAGCCATGTGTACATGAATTGCTAAGCAGGATTGAATAGTCTAAATTCTCTGTAGGAATCAACACGTGAATGAGTGAGAAATTCACAGAACTAGACTAGGTAGCTCACTAGATGATTTGAGCATTCATATGTGAACAGACATCTTTCATTGCATTTCCCATCCTGTTACTGGCTATAGGAGTATATACTGTAAACCAATTTACTGCTCTACTCATCCTGTTACTGGCTATAGGAGTATATACTGTTAACCAATTTACTGCTCTACTCATCATGTTACTGGCTATAGGGGTATATACTGTAAACCAATTTACTGCTCTACTCATGACTTCCTGTTTCAGGTAACCGTCCATATTCCTGTATGCTGTGCAGTAATTCCTTTGCACATCGTATTGGACTGAAGCGACACATGGTGACACATTTAAAGGACAAACCCTACAAGTGCGGCCAGTGCGGACGAAGTTTCTCCTTCAGGTAGGAAAAAAAGATAAGTCCCCAAGAAACATTTTTATGACATAGTAAGTTCCCTGCTTCTGGTCAATATTTCATTTAAAATCCCTGCCCAAAAAAGCAGGAGCAATTTTGGCTTGATTTGATATGGAGCATTTCGTTAGCATGGTTAGTCAATATTGTATAAATGACAGCTTTGACTCCCTTGAATCAAAATAGGGAAATGAGGCACACTTCTATAAGAATATTCCTTTTGTATGAGGGATTTCAACCTAATTTGAACAATTCTTGGGCCAAGGGATTGAAAAAAAGTATGCTATTTGGTTATCCTCAGGGATGGAAGGGTGTGGGAAATAGAGGTAAATCTTAAAAAGGCAACTAGTGTATGTATAAAAGGATTTTGAATTTCCTTTTTATGAATTAAATTTTGCAAAATTGAAGGGTGGGCTACCATATGAGCAGAGGAGCAAGGCTCAATAGGAAAATGGATGGAGGTTTTTTAAACACACCTACTTAAATATATCTTGATATCTTTGATTTAAATCTGGTAGAAACTATAGGGATTTTGTATAAATGGAGGGTGTGTCCTTTTTGAGGCAGTTACGATTGGATATAATGTCACCCCTTCACTTAAATGAAGGTCTCCCCTACAGGTATAAGATTTGGCTACATGTGTTTTTTATTCAGATAGTGGTAGTTGATTTTCTTTTATATATACAGGAGTAAACTAACAGACCACATGACCATGCACACTGGGATTAGCAAGCACAGATGTTCACATTGTGGGAGGATATTCACAGCGTCATCGTCACTGCGGCGCCACATGGAGCAGTGTACCAGCCCCACTAAGCCTCCAGGACCTAAGGTCAGCGAGGAGACTACGACAATGGAGATGACTGTTGATGTGATTCAGGCTACAGACACTGATACTATCTACATGTGTGGCATATGTGCAGAAACATTTGACTCGCTAGTCAAGGCAGAAAAACATACAATTGATCATGAACAGGGAGTTACCACTACAGTAGGAGATGACACTGTCGTGCTTCAGGACAATCAACAGGTTGTCATCACAGACAATGTCACTATAATCAGTGAACAGATTAGTTACACACCAGTCAGTGAACCTGTCATAGCAACAGAGGGGTTGCTGAACTGTAGTCATAGTAACACACCAGTCAGTGAACCAGTCATAGCAACAGAGGAGTTACTGAACTGTAGTCGTAGTAACACAAGTCAGTGCACCACAGTCATAGCAACAGAGGGGTTACTGAACTGTAGTCATCGTAACACACCAGTCAGTGAACCACAGTCATAGCAACAGAGGAGTTACTGAACTGTAGTCATCGTTACACACCAGTCAGTGAACCACAGTCATAGCAACAGAGGGGTTACTGAACTGTAGTCATAGTAACACACAAGTCAGTGAACCACAGTCATAGCAACAGAGTTACTGAACTGTAGTCATAGTAACACAATTCAGTGATCTTCAGGCGTAGCAACGTAACATTTACTGAAGTGTAGTCATAGTAACACACAAGTCAATGAATCAGTCATAGCAACAGAGGAGTTACTGAACTGTAGTCATAGTAACACACAAGTCAGTGAACCACAGTCATAGCAACAGCGTTACTGAACTGTAGTCATAGTAACACACAAGTCAGTGAACCAGTCGTAGCAACAGAGGGGTTACTACTGAACTGTAGTCATAGTAACACAATTCAGTGATCTTCAGGCGTAGCAACGTAACATTTACTGAAGTGTAGTCATAGTAACACACAATTCAGTGAACCACAGTCATAGCAACATAAGATTTTCTGAACTGTAGTCATAGTAACACACAAGTCAGTGAATCAGTAACAGCAACAGAGGAGCCTGTAAACTCAACTGAAGTCAAAACCCAAAATATGTTGAACCAGTCATAGCAACAAAGAAGTCAATGAACCATAGTCATAGCAACACAAAAAATATTGATCTTGCCTTAACATCAGAGTCTATGAACCATAGGTATAGCACTAGAGTCAGACCGGAATGTGTCGTCTGTCCTATTCACCCATGACAATACCCCCCTCCAAATCAATGTAAACAACACATATATGCCGGTAGCCTGTTCTTACACGATAGAGCAGACGTTTATTCAAAATGCATGATATCTCACTTGTGACACTTGTGTACAAAAAATTCAAATTATTACTCCTCCATGGCATCTGGACAATGATACATTCATTACATTATATAATTACAGGGAACCATCTCCCCCGACATCCAGGGTTAAAAACCAGAGATAAAACTTAATAAGTCACAAAAGCTCTGGGAAACCTTGTGATATCCTTCATCATCTGTGAAAACAAATCCAATACTGATATTAACATACCTTTACCAAACAAAAATTTACTTAAATCAACCGTATTCTTAGGCGTCAGGCTAAAATGCCTTCTGTCCTATTCGAACCAACCACGTATTAATCCACCCTGCCACACTTAAATCTTGTGCTCCTTACCTTTCACGGACCAATTCAATCACTATGCTCTCCCCCTTTCGCCGGAGTATTTCACTATGAATATTCGTTACTCTCAGGCCTCATGCCTGAATGAAACCTATAACTATTAGGAAATGAAACATACAGACAATTATTAACTGCTATACTATGTAACGCAGTAAAATTTTATTTACCTGTGGGTTGGAATAAATCTGGTTTTATTATATTAATGTACTGTAAACAATGCCCAGTGGACTTTATTTACAAGTCTCGCGGAAGGTCATGGATCTACAGCTGAACTAGTTACAAGTACTTGCTAAAATAAATTACTGTAAAATATATAACTCATAATAATGTTTGATTTGATATGATAAAAGACTTATTTTTTAATATCTAATATATTGATATAACTGTAGGTTATTGTTCATTGTTCATTAAATTGTTGCTGTTTGTTAACATTAATAAATTCATTATGTTTTAATGTCAAACAATGGATTATAATATTTCATGCATCCACCATGAAATAGGGTTTGGATGTTTGCTGCCTTTGTCTGTCACACAGCGAGATCCTCATCCTAGCACCTTCATGTCAATGTTTAGGGTTTAATGTCCTCGTAACAGATCAGGTTATATCGAGACTTGTGCCTAGAGAGACGTAACAGATCAGGTTATATCGAGACTTGTGCCTAGAGAGACATAACAGATCAGGTTATATCGAGACTTGTGCCTAGAGAGACATAACAGATCAGGTTATATCGAGACTTGTGCCTAGAGAGACATAACAGATCAGGTTATATCGAGACTTGTGCCTAGAGAGACATAACAGATCAGGTTATATCGAGACTTGTGCCTAGAGAGACATAACAGATCAGGTTATATCGAGACTTGTGCCTAGAGAGACATAACAGATCAGGTTATATCGAGACTTGTGCCTAGAGAGACATAACAGATCAGGTTATATCGAGACTTGTGCCTAGAGAGACATAACAGATCAGGTTATATCGAGACTTGTGCCTAGAGAGACATAACAGATCAGGTTATATCGAGACTTGTGCCTAGAGAGACATAACAGATCAGGTTATATCGAGACTTGTGCCTAGAGAGACATAACAGATCAGGTTATATCGAGACTTGTGCCTAGAGAGACATAACAGATCAGGTTATATCGAGACTTGTGCCTAGAGAGACATAACAGATCAGGTTATATCGAGACTTGTGCCTAGAGAGACATAACAGATCAGGTTATATCGAGACTTGTGCCTAGAGAGACATAACAGATCAGGTTATATCGAGACTTGTGCCTAGAGAGACATAACAGATCAGGTTATATCGAGACTTGTGCCTAGAGAGACATAACAGATCAGGTTATATCGAGACTTGTGCCTAGAGAGACATAACAGATCAGGTTATATCGAGACTTGTGCCTAGAGAGACATAACAGATCAGGTTATATCGAGACTTGTGCCTAGAGAGACATAACAGATCAGGTTATATCGAGACTTGTGCCTAGAGAGACATAACAGATCAGGTTATATCGAGACTTGTGCCTAGAGAGACATAACAGATCAGGTTATATCGAGACTTGTGCCTAGAGAGACATAACAGATCAGGTTATATCGAGACTTGTGCCTAGAGAGACATAACAGATCAGGTTATATCGAGACTTGTGCCTAGAGAGACATAACAGATCAGGTTATATCGAGACTTGTGCCTAGAGAGACATAACAGATCAGGTTATATCGAGACTTGTGCCTAGAGAGACATAACAGATCAGGTTATATCGAGACTTGTGCCTAGAGAGACGTAACAGATCAGGTTATATCGAGACTTGTGCCTAGAGAGAGGAACAGATCAGGTTATATCGAGACTTGTGCCTAGAGAGACATAACAGATCAGGTTATATCGAGACTTGTGCCTAGAGAGATGTAACAGATCAGGTTATATCGAGACTTGTGCCTAGAGAGATGTAACAGATCAGGTTATATCGAGACTTGTGCCTAGAGAGACGCCACCACAAGGAAAGAGTGTTACAATTGGGGAAGCAGATCAGTTATGGTCCTTTGATGTGTATGGTATCCTTGTATTTTGACATACTTTGAGTCCTTCATCCCAGCAACTCAGTAATTATAAGGTAACAAAGAATTTTTGCTGTGTGAAAATCATTGACCTGTGTCCTTGGAAGTACTTTCTATATGTTGAACAATCTCTCATTGAGCCTGAACAAGCTCTGTACCTCATTGAGCCTGAATGATCTCTTTACCTCATTAAGCTTGAACAATCTAGTCTTTACCTCAACCTCATTGAGCCTTAACAATCTCTGTACCTCATTGAGCCTGAACACTCTCTTTACCTCATTGAGCCTGAACAATTTCTGTACCTCATTGAGCCTGAACGATCTCTTTACCTCATTAAGCCTGAACAATCTCTTCACCTCATTGAGCCTAAACAATCTCTGTACCTCATTGAGCCTGAACACTCTCTTTACCTCATTGAGCCTGAATGATCTCTTTACCTCATTAAGCTTGAACAGTCTCTTTACCTCATTGAGCCTGAACAATCTCTTCACCTCATTGAGCCTAAACAATCTCTGTACCTCATTGAGCCTGAACACTCTCTTTACCTCATTGAGCCTGAACAATCTCTGTACCTCATTGATCCTGAGCAATCTCTTTACCTCATTGAGCCTGAACAATCTCTTTACCTCATTGAGCTTGAACAATCTCTTTACCTCATTAAGCCTGAACAATCTCTTTACCTCATTAAGCCTGAACAATCTCTGTACCTCATTTAGCCACGGCACTCCTGTCCTAGGATAGCTCCTTCATTTTTATCCCCCGCTTTCACCGTAAAGACCGTAAAGGGTGATATTAATTTGGGTTTGTCTGTCTGTCCAATCCCGCAATAACTACAACAAATGTAAACTGATTTTCTTCAAACTTGGTCACAGGGTTAAATGCCTTAAGGGCTCGGCCAAGTACAATGACCACTTTCAGTGGACTTTATTTGACGGAGTTATGGCCCCTTGAATATCAAAATTCATCATTATCTGCTGCGTTTCTGTTCATCAACTCTTGCAAATATTATCCGATTGTCTTCAAACTTAGTAAAAGGGTTCAACACATTAAGGGCTCAGCCAATTTTGACAACTACTTTAATCGGACTCTATTTGGCAGAGTTATGGTCCTTTGATTAACAAAAAATACCATTTTTTGCAGTTTCTGCTTAATAACTCTAGTAAATATTAGCCAAATTCCTTCAAATTTGATAACAATGTTTGTGTTCCTCTGTCTTTCCACCCATCTCCGGCACTCTTTTGTTTTCATGTGATAATTGCTGTAGATATTGTTCAGATGTTTCAACCAAATTCCGTATGCACATTCTACTCATGCCAAGTTTGCCAACCGATGTGATTTGTGCATAGTTACGGATAATCAATCTTTTTTCTTTCTTCAAGTTTCAAGCTATACATTATGTCTCAACAGCACATGTTAACAAGAGGCCCAGAGGGCCTGTATCGCTCACCTGAATATGTTTAAAATAATTGGTTTGAAGTAGGTGCTGTAAGTACATATGAAGATTCAGAAAGATCCATCCAGTATTTGAGATATAGCGAGAACAAACTTCAAACAGAGCCCCACCCCTATATGCAACCTAGGGGTCATACCCACCAATTATACAAAATTGAGTCCCTTTCACCCAAGGATGCTCCAGACTAAATAAGGAAAAAATCCCATAATCCTGATGGTCGAAGAAGGATTTTAAAGGTTTTACCTCTATTTCTCCTATTGGGCCCCGCCCTTCTGCCCCTTGGGAGACCACACCCACTGCATGCTTATACAAAATTGAGTCCCCTTGGCCCATTGATGCTCCAGACTAAATTAGGATAAAATCCCTTAATCCCTATGGTAGAAGAAGGATTATAAAGGTTTTACCTATATTTCCCCTATTTTGCCCCACCCCTCAGGTCCCAGGGGGGTCACACCCACCATTTATACAAAATTGGTTCTCCTTTACCCAAGGATGCTCCACACCAAATATGGACCAAATCCTTTCATTCCTACAGACAAAGAGTTTTAAAAGAATAATTTACTATGTTTCCCCTATTGGGCCCCGCCCCTCAGGGGCCACACCCACGGTTTATACAAAATTGGTTCCCCTTCACCCAAGGATGCTTCAGACCAAATATGGATAAAATCCCATAATCCCGATGGTCGTAGAAGGAATTTAAAGGTTTTACCTCTATTTCTCCTATTGGGCCCCGCCCTTCTGCCCCTTGTGAGACCACACGCACTACATGCTTATACAAAATTGAGTCCCCTTGGCCCATTGATGCTCCAGACTAAATTAGGATATAATCCCTTAATCCCTATGGTAGAAGAAGGATTATAAAGGTTTTACCTATATTTCCCCTATTGGGCCCCACCCCTCAGGTCCCAGGGGGGCCACACCCACCATTTATACAAAATTGGTTCTCCTTTACCCAAGGATGCTCCACACCAAATATGGACCAAATCCTTTCTTTCCTACAGACGAAGAGTTTTAAAAGAATAATTTGCTATGTTTCCCCTATTGGGCCCCGCCCCTCAGGCCCCTAGGGGGCCACACCCACGGTTTATACAAAATTGGTTCCCCTTCACCCAAGGATGCTTCAGACCAAATATGGAACAAATCCTTTCATTCCTACAGAAGAAGAAGGATTTTAAAGAATTTGCTATGTTTCTCCTATTGGGCCCCACCCCTCAGGCCCCTGGGGGGCCACACCCTCGATATATACAAAATTGGTTCCCCTCCACCCAAGGATGCTTCTGACCAAATATGGAACAAATCCTTTCATTCCTACAGAAGAAGAAGGATTTTAAAGAATAATTTGCTATGTTTCCCCTATTGGGCCCTGCCCCTCAGGCCCCTGGGGGGCCAGACCCACAGTTTAAACAAAATTGGTTCCCCTAAACCAAAGGATGCTTCAGACCAAATATGGAACAAATCCTTTCATTCCTACAGAAGGAGAAGTATTTTAAAGAAATTGCTATATTTCCCCTATTGGGCCCCGCCCCTCAGCCCCCAGGGGGGCCAGACCCACTGTTTATACAAAATTGGTTCCCCTTTACCCAAGGATGCTCCACACTAAATATGGAACAAATCCTTTCATTCCTACAGAAGAAGGATTTAAAGAATAATTTGCTATGTTTCTCCTATTGGGCCCCACCCCTCAGGCCCCTGGGGGGCCAATACCTCGATATATACAAAATTGGTTCCCCTCCACCCAAGGATGCTTCTGACCAAATATGGAACAAATCCTTTCATTCCTACAGAAGAAGAAGGATTTTAAAGAATAATTTGCTATGTTTCCCCTATTGGGCCCTGCCCCTCAGGCCCCTGGGGGGCCAGACCCACAGTTTAAACAAAATTGGTTCCCCTAAACCAAAGGATGCTTCAGACCAAATATGGAACAAATCCTTTCATTCCTACAGAAGGAGAAGGATTTTAAAGAAATTGCTATATTTCCCCTATTGGGCCCCGCCCCTCAGCCCCCAGGGGGGCCAGACCCACTGTTTATACAAAATTGGTTCCCCTTTACCCAAGGATGCTCCACACTAAATATGGAACAAATCCTTTCATTCCTACAGAAGAAGGATTTAAAGAATAATTTGCTATGTTTCCCCTATTGGGCCCTGCCCCTCAGGCCCCTGGGGGGGCCAGACCCACAGTTTATACAAAATTGGTTCCCCTTCACCCAAGGATGCTTCAGACCCTACAGAAGAAGAAGGATTTTAAAAAATTTGTTATATTTCCCCTGTTTGGCCCTGCCCCTCAGCCCCCAGGGGGGCCAGACCTACGGTTTTATACAAAATTGGTTCCCCTTCACCCAAGAATGCTTCAGACCAAATATGGAACAAATCCTTTCATTCCTACAAAAGAAGAAGGATTTTAAAGAATTTGCTATATTTCCCCTATTGGGCCCGCCCCTCAGCCCCCCGACCCACCATTTATACAAAATTTGTTCCCCTTCCCCCAAGGATGCTTTTGAGCAAATTTGGTCAAATTCTGCTCAGGCGTTCATGACTAGTAGCGTTTTAAAGGAAAAGTTGACGGACGGACGACGGGCGACGGATGCTGCGGTATGGCATAAGCTCACCATGGTCCTTTGGACCAGGTGAGCTAAAAACCTAACCTCAATAATGTCAACTTACAATGTCCTGCAAGCGGGGTATTCCACGAATTTGCTTGTGAATCTGGGGCTTTATTAGAAGTTATTTTGAGTCATTTAACCCTGTGAACTTGAATACAGGTGAAGGTAATTTATTTAAACAAATTCAAAGGTTTTCACTCAAATAAGTTGCATGCCAGATATAACAATTCTTGGCATTGTACCTCCTCCAACATATGTTGAAATACAAAGTCGATGACTGACCATGTGCCCCAACATGAGCTCACAAGCTGCCTATAGTTTTATGATCAGACAGTACAGTCACTGTCACTTCATTAAATTCTATAAAAGGTTGACATGTGTATAAACACAACTTAAAAACTGAAGCTAAACAAACTACAAACAACAAGTTAACATTTCTCTCTTTATTAGTATTGTAACCATGGTAACGTGGCCAAAGACTGGTTACTAAGGACAATGTACACATGGTAACATATCATTAGTTATCCATGGCTGCCAAGCCTATTTATATGGCTGCAACAACAAAAATAATGTACAATCATAAACAGTACTGACATATGCATGACCTTGAAAATGGAACGATGTTGCCCTGACTTCCAGACATCGTGTCTGTGTCCTTAATCCCAGATGATGTTAATTTATACCTCCAAACATCATCTATATAGTCAATAAATTAGAAAAAGGACATAAAGGACATACTGAATTTATCCCTAGAATAACATTTTCAAGCAAGCCTAATATTATTAGGCATGATCGTTCAAGTCAGACCTGTCTAAAATTACTTCTACCAATTCAATCAAATATGATGCTGATGAGATGCTGATGAGATGCAGAAATGTCACAAAATCATTCATTTTTGAAAGTCCTGCTCCCAGCCTTTGCATATGTTTTATTAATAAAAACCTCTGAAATCAGTTCAGCACCAGCAACCATTTACAGTGAACTGAGCCTCAGCCAACAGATCCTTCACAATAAACTGAGCCTCAGCCAACAGATCCTTCACAATAAATTAAGGTAAGTTAATGGAGTGTTCCATCGTTTTTTTTCTGTGAAAATTAATTATGCACAATAAGTGTGAAACAATAGCAAACTAGTGTCACAATCAAGTTTATAAACATTATTCTATTTTTATTTCATTTATACCATTGATGACAATGCTGCCAGCAAGTCATCGTCTTTCATTGTAAAGCAGTGATATTTATTTCAATACATATTAACAACATTTATGAATAAATATCTGAATGACTTGACAACACTGGTGACGTGTTGCTAACAATTACATGAAACAATGATATAGGTCAAATTACCACCAACTTCATCAGCTCCAACAAACACGACATCATCTCGGGACTGTTCAACAGACCCTTAAGTATTCAAACGAAAATCAATACATCACTTATATTCTAGGTGTGACAATAAAACAATAGTAGGATACCATTTAACACTACATATATACAGCATATCTATACACAACATGCATGTCCCTCAACAACAGACAATCATATACTAGATCTGATCACTGAATCAGTGTCTTCTTTAACTATTTAGGAGCAAATAAGTCATCAGTCTTCAAACAAGATTTAAACTGACTGTGAACATAGGCCCCTTCCACGTATCCGGTTAAACGAATAAACCAATTTGTCTGTTTATAAATGTAACATTTGCAGGTATACATCCTGGCGGACCTGCAAATGTTTATACAGGCCTTGCAAGACTTTGTCAAGGCTCATCTGAAAGCAGCATCAGATTACTAGGTCAAACCTTACTTCATAAACGAAAAACTCTGGTCCAACCCGCTCAACCCATTGGATTGCTAAAAATTAAAACAGCTCCAATGCTTTTTTTGTTATCAAATTGAAACTAAAACACCACCAACTCTGGCTGACATCATAAATGTTGTCAGTATTTCCATTTCAAATAAAAACATTATTTTTTTTGGTGCATATGGCACCAAGACATTTACATCAGTTCACCAGTCAAGGGTAAACGTGTTAAAATAGTATAAAATTAAGTAATTCTTTATAAAATTCTGTCAATAGTTTTGCAATATTTAATTAATTTATCAAGTTACTATGTAACACAAAACATTCACTTGTATTTTCTTTCGTGGCTCAACATTTATAAACCATTTGATATTTTTTATTTTTTTTCTGAAAAATTGAAAATTTACAACAAATCCTCATGTGTTCCTCCCTTGTCTTGACATGATAATTTTGAAACTTAAAATATAAATAATTATAGTTTTGACATTTCAATGTTTTTGAAAACACACTAGATTAAAATTTGGTGTTTCATTGTAGCCTATCAGACTTGGAACAACTACACCTTGATGGTAATTTGTAAACGAGTCGTATAAGTACTAGTATATAGTTTATGTATTTGCTATAAGAATATTTTACCAAAATCATGAACAAAACCGTCAAAGTAAATTCACAGGGACTATTTCATGATACTTTGCAAGTTGGTTTGATAATCTGATTACCTCCCCTGTCACGGGAAGTGATACTATGTAATATTACATTAACTTAGTCACAACACACACTAACACATTCTTACTAGTCACAACACACACTAACACATTCTTACTAGTCACAACACACACTAACACATTCTTACTAGTCACAACACACACTAACACATTCTTACTAGTCACAACACACACTAACACATTCTTACTAGTCACAACACACACTAACACATTCTTACTAGTCACAACACACACTAACACATTCTTACTAGTCACAACACACACTAACACATTCTTACTAGTCACAACACACACTAACACATTCTTACTAGTCACAACACACACTAACACATTCTTACTAGTCACAACACACACTAACACATTCTTACTCTAACTGCACCAGCTAACATCATCAACATGGTCTGATGGGTGCTCCCTCCTGTACAAAATCCAGTCAGTTACAATTTACAATTGGTTTTATATTATGTTTTGTAATAATACAAAATGAGGATTAGATGGTTGCCATTTTAAAATCTCGCATGAAATAGATGTATGCTACAGAAAGTAAAGTTCAGTTGCTTTAAAAGCTGATGATGGATGATTAACTCATTCACCCCTGAAATTCCATAATGAACTATTCCAACCTTTGAATTGGAAGAGTTCAAATGTGTGTTCAGGGTTGAATGGAGTTAAGTGACTATGAGACATATACATATGGCTTGTAGATACATTTACTTCACCAGTGCTTACAACAGCACACAACTGCACACATACTAATGCTTCACATTCCCACTGGTTTACAGAAGAACACAAATTGTCCGTTATATTACAATGAAAACTGGAGCGATGAAGACTGGTCACTCGTCAATACATATAACTGCTTTTCCGTTGACCTTTGCTCCTGCTTCGGTTCCTCCTTTACCATCGGACTTCTGGGATAAATCTGTGACTTTACTTTGGCTTGCTGTAAAAGGAACAAGATATATTATTTCTTTGAACAGTTAAAACCTCAACCAACATTAGATCAAATTTTGTTCCAAATCTGAAATCAATTTTCACATGCAGTGAAACATGTCAAACCTCATTTAGCCGATACATTTGTAATTTATTTCTTTTAAACAGCATTATGCAGTATATACTCATGTCTTATCTTCGTAATGAGTTCCACCGCAATGTTGCATTTGGATACATTCTTGGTGATACGATATAATAATTTATTTACATAGCAAAAGAATTTGATGAAATTTGAAAGTTTCCAAAAAACTCTTATTAAATGGAAAATAACTAAAGCTCTTTTATTCCTCAATTCATTTTGATTTTCGTGAATACAAATCAAGTTTCATTTTTTTTTTTTATATTTATATATATTTATCTTTCAACATGGCATTAAGATAAAAAAAATCTTTTTTACAAAGACTGACACAAAACACATTCACAACACGTAAGGCATCTGTTTAAATGAAAACAAGCAAAAATCTATAGAGCGACTGTTCTTAATCAACAGCTAATCAGAACAACATGAATTTTCCATAATCTGATCATTTGTAGTCACAGTGCACATGTATTTATTAATTTAATGAAATTAATTTATTTCATCCCAAACTAATATCCATTAAATTAATAACAAAAGTAATCTCCCTTACAATAAGACCATCTTCAAAGTTGACCGCAGTATGGCTATTGGTCGACTGCTTTTCATGATTTAGAGATTATAATCAGATGACCAATGTGAGAGGGAAATTAACAGATGGATTAAAACTCAGAAAATACTTCCAAAACTTTGTGAAAAATGCAGGAGGCAACATATCTTCAGTATTATCGTCACAACAAAGCAACTAAAAACACCAAGCAGTACCATACAAAGGAAATCATATTTGTCACACCACTACCGAAGGTACGAAATCAAGTCTAAATCAAACTAAAATTTGGAAGCAAAACGATAAAAGATGGGCTGGTATGACTGATTCATTCACAACTAACAACCATTCAAGGGAAGTAACTCAATGCAAACAGCGGCAGCAATGAGGTTTGATATCTCATATTTTGTCTAAAAACAGTTCTGCATAACAGAACCAGGGCTGGTCACATATAGAATCATGTGTATTTACTAACAGTTTTTCTACAGTTGATCAAGGTTTGAAAATGAATCAAAGATCCATCAATTAGTGTTGGGAGGTGAAAAGTTGTTCAATGACATCCTGCACTGATTTACAGTTGTCTTTGAGTAGTCTTAGTGGTACTGGTGTATATGTCTTCAGGCCTAAATAAAGGCAGGGACGATTGTTTAAAGACACTTATTCATCAGGAAAACAACACTAATTACTTTTAAAATAGCTGAAATTCTTAACTGGATATTTTATAAATGTAAGTTTTATAAAAATAAGAATAAATCACATCTTTCAAGATAAAGGATAAAACTACTTTTTATCAAAATGAACAAAAATCTTATATTTTTCCTTAACAATTCTTTCATCTACCCTTCCCCCAATTAAAAATAAGAATACGAGTATATGGGGTAGGGTCAACTAGGGTGGCATGTGTATTGAGAAGAAATTCAGACATCAAATACATAAATATATATCTTCAATAAAAAAATATGGTTATCTGTTGCAATTCATAATGGAATTTACCAATATCCACTCTAAAAAATAATAAGATTTTAATTCAAGATTAGATTTACGCAAAAAAAACACTTTTAAAAATTGGAGTTAATGACCCAGATGGTCTTATAACTATATAACAAAGTTGAGAAAATCTGGCCCCGAGCGTAGCAAATGCGCTGCAATGAAATACACAGACATCGATAGGAGGAGACATCCAGCAGCGCATGCAGATAACAAGTTGACGTGCCTTTATTTCGAGGGCATGCTCTGACCAAGCAGCGTCTCCATGGCTGACTTAGAGAGTGCCTCGCTGGATACTTGCCAGGAGAAAGGCTCCGAGAGACCACCAAGGTAAGACGGCTGATCAAAGGGAGGTGGCCCTATGTAACCAAGCAGTCACACTTGAGTACAAATGTACCAGCACCTTGAAACAGGGTATATCTAACTACCAAGTTCCCGACCCATAACACGATATACTAGCAACTTTAAATAGGGTATATCTAACTACCAAGTTCCCAACCCATAACACGATATACTAGCAACTTTAAATAGGGTATATCTAACTACCAAGTTCCCGACCCATAACACGATATACTAGCAACTTCAAATAGGGTTTCTCAAACCAATAGCGACTGATAATAACCAATTTTATTCTGTTTACTGAGAACCTTTCGCCGAGTCTAATATTCACCCAGTATAAATTTCACCCCTAAGATACAATAGCTATGTAGGGTGAGTTATACCCAGTATAAATTTCACCCCTAAGATGCTATAGCTATGTAGGGTGAGCCATTTACTTACATTCGTTACACCCAGTATAAATTTCACCCCTAAGATAAAATAGCTATGTAGGGTGAGTTATACCAAGTATAAATTTCACCCCTAAGATGCTATAGCTATGTAGGGTGAGTTATACCCAGTATAAATTTCACCCCTAAGATACAAAAGCTATGTAGGGTGAGCCATTTACTTACATTCGTTACACCAAGTATAAATTTCACCCCTAAGATGCTATAGCTATGTAGGTTGAGCCGTTTACTTACATTCGTTACACCCAGTATAAATTTCACCCCTAAGATACAATAGCTATGAAGGGTGAGTTATACCCAGTATAAATTTCACCCCTAAGATGCTATAGCTATGTAGGGTGAGCTGTTTACTTACATTCGTTACACCAGTATAAATTTCACCCCTAAGATGCAATAGCTATGTAGGGTGAGTTATACCCAGTATAAATTTCACCCCTAAGATGCTATAGCTATGTAGGGTGAGCCGTTTACTTACATTCTCTTTTATGATAACTTTGCCCTCATTGCGGATGGCGAAAAAGGCGAAAAATTTAACTGTGTCGAAAACTTTCCCAGTACATTATTTTTCTTTAAAGATAAGTTTAAAACTTGTTGACTCGTGAATAAATATAAAGGCAATGCATGGTTTGTTGTCGTCGTCCCCTGTATTGGCAATTTTGATGAGTTGTGTACAAAAAAATATTTCCTAAAAGATAAGGACAAAACGTTGATGTGGGATGGTAGTACGGGGAAATGTTCAGGACACTGCAACAGGGATTTCACTTTGTAGTGCTGCTGTAATGTAGCTTCGTGGATCTGTTGTGAACACAACAATGTAGGGGTGTGAATACATATTCGTGAATTTGAAGTATGAATAGGCGTTTGTGAATTCTGAACAAAATTGGGCTGTTATATAGCAATTAGAGGAAAAAGCGAGTCTTTCTGAAAAGTAGTATTTGCAGGTCCTTGTAATTTCGAGGTTTGGGTCTTTGTGACTTTGAAGTAGAGGTAGGATTTAGAAATTCTGTGTTAGAAGTTAGTGATGAAGTCCGGGTAATCATACGTACCAGGCGTAGAAGCAGGTGAGCGATGCGAGGGACTAGGTAGTGGGCCCGACTGTAGCTGTTTGAGGCTCTGTGTTAGGGTCACTGGTATCTGTCCTGTAACAGAAAATATTACTGTCACATATTTATACTGAAACAGTTCTCCCATACGTGCTTTAGACATACATTTTACTAGTCTGTGCTCAACCTGTAAATAGAGTGACCTACAAAATCACAATCCGATTAAAATATAGTCCTTCATTATAATCTATGTCTGAAGTTAAGGCTGTAAGTGATAAATTAACTTCGTTTTTTAATCAGATTGGTAAAATCACTCGCACAACTTGTAATTGTGAAAACATCAACATTGTAACAGTTCTAAATTCTTTGAACATAATGATCACCTACAAATGATCGAGATTTTGTACCTCTCCTCCCACTCAGTAATACTTTATAAATACATGTATGTAAACATCTGTCAGCTGCAAGGCCAAATTCATCACACTCCCATCCTCTCCACTTCATCCATTTATGATTACATTAATACTACTTAAATTCTTTAAACCCATTTCACCCTATGACATATACCTGATAATAACATACATAATGACAGTATCATTTCAAGATTTACCAACCAACACGGCAGCATATATAATCAATACCAAAACTCTGCCAGTTATACAGCAGTGTTTCCATATCTCGAGTGTTGTTCTGGCCGACATTAATAAACATCTACTATCAACCTATCAAACTATATCAGATCTTAAGTTAAGATATTTAAGGTTTGTTTGTTTGTGTATATAATTAATGGCCCATCAACGGCTGTGGTCATTTAGGGCCGTGGTGGTTTATTTATTTTAACAAACATGCGAGTAGCGAAGATAAAATCAGATAAAAATGTATATTTTTAAAAGCATTCGCATTGTATGTGTAGATAATTAAAATAGAAAGGGGGATAAAATAATAAAAGCGATAACAAATAGATGATATGGACTATGTGATATATATAGCGTCAAAAAGGGTAAAGTGGATTAAAAGACATTGGTCTATAGAATAGACCAAGGTCTTTCAAATTGTTAAATAATGCCTTCGAGTCCACGGAAATGAAAAGAGTTTTCATATCCAGGACTCGAAAGTAGTTATCACAAATGTTTTTAAAATCGGAACATTCTATTAAAAAATGTTCCACTGTAAATGGAGTGTCACATGCGTGGCATGAAGGTGGATCTTCTCGTTTTAAAAGGTACGAATGAGTATAGGATATGTGTGCCCAGTGCGGAGCCGAGCGAGGACAACTTCCTCTCTACGATCTTTCCGACTGGGAACAGATGTTTTAAGTTTCGGACTTTTGTTTGTTGGAGATTTAACAATTTGTTTTGCTTCCCTGTCAACAAATGTGTTGCCTTTAATGCTGACATGGCTCGGAATCCATTATAAACCGCATTATATAAGAACCTTTTGTACGAGTGTGTTTTTAGAATCTCCTAACTGTAAACTTTGTAGGACAGATAGAGAGTCTGAACAAATGATTGCATTTTTAATGCGGTGTTCATCGATATGGTCGAGGGCCAAACCAATTGCTAATGCTTCTGCAGAACAGATGGAGGCGCCGTCTGGTAGTCGAACTGAAGTGCAAGAATTAACAGTACAGCAGGCTGCTGACACTTTCTCACCTTCTTTGGAACCATCGGTGTAATGTTGTGTTTGAGAAGGGTAATTCATTATTTAAGGGTCTATTATACCAGAAATACTTTATAGCTATCTCCCTTAAAAATATTTATCAAAGCTTTCAATACAGAAATAAGCTTTAGAATAATGCCGTCTATTTATTTTCAATGTATACATTTCAACTATAATACATCACTGTCTTCACAATATGTATTTCTATTGTGAAGAGGTGAAACCAGCACTAGGCCAAAGCAGACCTGACTGATGTGGATGACAGTAACATTCTAGTACACGCTGGCCCTTCACCCTAGTAAGCTACACGGCCAATATCAGGACCACGCCTCAAGGTTCTGTAGCAAGGTTTTAGTGGGTTAGTTGTTTATCTAAACAGATATAGTAACCCTACACAAAGCAAACTACATAAAAACTCTTGACTTTAGGTTATTTTTTATTTAGTAGGTCATAAAAAGGAAAAGTTAAGGATGGATGGATGGCAGACACTGTACTTTAGCGTAAGCTCACAGGCACTTTGTGCCAGCAGACGAGCTAAACCTCTCGGCCAAAGCTGAAAATATTTTTTCTGTAATGAAAATATGTATAATATTCAAAATAAAAACAAAACTGGTATCTTATTATTTTGAAATTTTTTGACATTAATTACCAAAAAATTATAAAATGATTTAACACAGATGTGCTGAAAATGTAAAGGTTGTGCAACTCCACCAGGACCTCATTGTAACCAGTGGAAGCTGTCTAAACCAGATCCTGTATAATCTGGAAACTTGCATAAAACTAGGCCTAGTGGTGGGTTCGTTTAAAATCATAATCAATAGGTAATTGGAAATATTTAACCTACTGATGATCGATTGCATCATCAGTTAATAATGTTATGGGACTGATTGCTCCAATAAAGTTGGCACACTAGGGTTACATCATAAGACAGTTGTGAACTATAACACAGCCTTTTTTCTGTTAATAAATATAATGAATGGATGTCAAGCAACTTTTATGCAGTTTTGTCAACCATGTAGTAAAAGTCGTAAGGACATAGGCTTTCAATGCATACATTACTTTGTATACATTTGACAATTTGATTTCAATAATGAAATTTGTAATCTATAATCGGAAACGGCAAACTAATCAATTTTCAATTACAATTGATCACCAGTCACTAACTAGACCTGCTACTAGGTTAAAATTAATATACTACAAATTAAATATTTGTTATAGATTTTTTTTGTTTCAATTGTGTTTGGTTTAGAGAGATTTCACTGTAAACATGCAAATTCTAAAGGAGACAAACTCTGACACGGTCAACTAAACACAGAAAAAAGCCCTTGTTCCAGCCATCTTGAATCTTCAGCATCAACAAAAAGAAATGAATAAAGCAACAGGAATAGCCAGAAAGGAAAAGGAATTATTTTTTATATAAACGGTAATCTGTTGTGAACATTTCTGAGAACTTGCCAATCTGTGTATAACAAACATCAAATTTACCCCAACCCCACCCCAACCAAAAAACAACAAAAAATACATTTAACCAAATGTATATTTTAGTGCTACCATTATAACGCAGTGCATTCAATTTGGTTTATACATTATTTTGGCGTAACCTTTTATTCCACTTTCAACATATACAACCTACATTTTCAATAGTGATTGTTGTTGTTGAGGTTTAAATTTTAACCCTGCAGAGGAATTCATTCTAAAGTCCCTTCCCCTAAGGTGTTTTTGGTTCCCCTAAGGTGTTTTTGGTGGTTTTTTGTAACTAGATAAAACTATAAATTGAAAGCATACAAAAGTCTTGAATAATAATTGAAGCAAGTTTTCCAGAAGAAAAATACAAACAACCAACACTAACATTTATACTAAAGCAACCAAAACAATGCTGGCTCTGAATTCAGTAGATAAGCAGCAATTCAATTACAATGTCCGCACACATGCTGCAATACCAAGAGCCAATTTGTGTTGCTTTTTCCTGTTAGGTTGGCCAGGCTCTGTAACCATAGCCCTAGACATACCGCTCTGACTCAAGATGGCCGACATTGTTGTGCTTAAATCATGCTGCCCCGGAAGGTTGGGGAGCAGTGGAAATCCTAGTGGCCCTGTAAAGCAACAGTAGGGGTCAAAGTCAAAAGTAGAAACAGTTAACGAGAGGTAGTAGATAAAGGTAGCCAGTAAAAACAGGTTTTAATGGGGAAGGAACGGAGTCAAGGTTGTAGAAGAAATAGGTTTTAATGGGGAAGGAACTGAGTCAAGGTTGAAGAAGAAATAGGTTTTAATGGGGAAGGAACTGATCATGAGTCAAGGTTGAAGTAGAAATAGGTTTTAATGGAAAAGTTGGATCAAATTCAAGAGCAGAAATAGATTAAGTAGGGAAGGTGTCAGGTCCAGGTACAAGTAGAAATAGAATTTCATTGGGGAGGTATCAAGTTGGTTCAGTAGGAACCAAAGTAGTCCCGATATTTTTTCTTGAAAGATCATCACCTTACAAGCTGAGAATGTAGAACAATTCTACTACATAAAAACAACGCTAAATTGCAATGTATCTAAACTTCCTGAATGAACTTTGTCTGATTACAGTTTATAAACTGTTGCATTAACTATCAGCTCCAACAGGACAGTCATGGGATAACCAACCTAAATGCTATACACCCAATGGACTTTTGCAATGGTAATTAGCTGACCTGGATGGTCATAATCATCACAGATTCAGGTCCTGCAGGATTAACAGTAGCTTTGCCTCGATATAAATATGTCTTTATCATCAGATCTTGTTTTAAATATGAATCTTAAAATTACTCATAGAATGATTTTTTGGATTCAGGAAGATAGATTAATACTGTAAAGAAATTTTCCAGATGCCAAAACAATACTTTTGGCATTGATTCAAAGGGAAGTGATTAATCATGTAATATAAATCTGCTTGAACAAGAAGAATTAACATTGGTATATAAAATCTGTATTTTTTTTAGTAAGATTTAGATGTTGGAAAGAGAACATACTAAATCCTAACAAAACCCAGCTGTTTTACAATAGAATAAACGTTTTCCTTAAAAACAGAATGTTTCACAGGTCTTAAAAGCTCTGCTCTTTCCTCTACGCAAAATGCAAAATATGAGGTGACAAAAAAACTTAATATATTTTTAAATATTTTTTCTTTTTCTATATATTTCTTTTTTGTTGTACATGTCAAACTGTTTCCTAATATTATATTTTTATACATTGATCAGAAAAAATACTACAGCAGAACCCCGATTCAACAAGCTCCCGAGTATGCAAAGACTGTCAATGTTCATCAATGGATTAAAACTTTACATATTTACACCAAGCAAATATGATCCCATAACAGTCTAACAAGACATGGCCACTGCCCATTACGTACCTGGAGCAAATGGAGACTGAGCTAGACCGAACTGTGGCCGGAATCCCTGTGGAAAGTTGGCGTAGGCGCCAGCTAGAGATGCTGGAACACCCAGGAATGAAGCCTGGGACACATTCGGCATAGCGGCCGGTGAAGATGTTCCTGTTGGCGTAGCAATAGGGCTGGCAGCCACTACTGGGGCAGATCCTCCTCCGCTACCAGAGGCTGATGTCGCCTGGGAACCAGGATTGACCAATCGACTAAGAATGCTGCGCTCAGACATAGCCAATCGCTGGCTAACTGGCGGTATCCTTGCCAGAGTTGCTGGTAGACGGCTCACATCCTGCTTCATGTCGCTTAGTAACTCTTCAAGCTGGTTTAGCACTGAAAGATGATACAACATCCCTGTCAGTACTGCGATAGTTACAGGTTATATTTAATGAACAGATTGATAATCTGAAACAGAGAGCTAATGAAAAAAATACAATTCTTTCTTGCAAATTTCATTTTCCTTTGTTTAACATATTAAGACAATAGATTTCCAGTAAAAAGCACTGCCTGAAATTAAACTATATAACTAAATTCTTGATATTTGCAACCTTGCTTGCCACCAATATTTATTTCCATGTTCCCTTTCAATTTAAATAGGACATCTCTCTCAAAGCATCACCAAATCCCCGTATCATACCAAAACTTTGCTGGACAAGTGTTGGCAGTATAATGAAACTTGGTAGTAGATAAACCGGATATATAGCTTAAGAGAAAATACTGCTGCTCGAGTCAACATCTATTTATTTTCAAAGTGTCATCTTCTACTTGAAAATTCCCCTTTTAATGATTCAAGCACATATATGTGGTGTGCCTACCTTTATGGAGAACTGCATTGGCAGGCTTATTGCCAGCCAGAGATTCTTTAGATAAATGTTGGTGGCTCTCAGCCAGACATTCGAGCTCAGCGAAGCGTGTGTTGAGCGCCATTGCTGGGTGGCTAGGATCCTGAGTCAGGTTGAGGTACGCTGCACGTCGCAACTGCTCCTCAATCACCAGTCCCTGCTCCAGCAGCTAAACAAGCAGAAACAGTGGAGTTAAGATTCAACAGGGATTCAATTGCAATGTCAACAAAATATAAATACATCAAAGTTTTACTTCATACACAAACAATGTACGTATTAAACAGGTTACAACGTTTCAAGACCGACTTGTCCCATTGTCAAGCTATGACTGAGTGAGCGATCTGTGTTGTTTACCTGTACAACGATGTGGCAAAATTGTATATTTCATACGTCACATGACCACGGATGTTTTGCCTATCGATAGAGTGTATACAAACTGTTTGAAGATGATATTAATGTATACCTTGCTTATCATCATTACATAATTACAGGATGTCATCAAATTTTGTCAAACTTCTTTTTAAATTTCCAATATTACATGTAAAAAAAACTCAAAGATATTATAAACAGTATGTATAACAAATTTTACCTTGAACCTGCGAGCCAGGAACTTGTTCTTGATTTCCAAAAAATTGCCTTTGCCTTGCTCACTTAGGAATGGCTCATTAACAATCTGGAATCGTGGGTCATTCTGGATATCCTGCCAACGCCCATATCCATGACTGAAGGTCAAAGGTCAAGGACAAACCCTTTGTTACTTAGATATGTTTTACATTTTTTAAATGTACATCAGTAGACATGAATGATAGTTTTGGTTATCTACCGTTTTCACAGGTTTAATTTTCTAATCTACTGCCCAGTAAAACATGGTTGTGTCAAAGTCTTCTGAGACCATAACCAATTTCTGAGAGTAACATAATATCCAATACATCCAAGTATAACATATGGAGGGACCAATTCACACGAAAGTTTGGCTAAATTTACCATGGTACTGGTGCTGGTAAAATCACCTACTACCCCATCATGATGGTAATGTGGGGTAGTAGGCTTATTCTCAAACATCTAACAAAGGTGTGACCATGAACTGAGCATTAAAACCACACTTATTTGTAAAGGATACGTGACAATGCCAGCCAGAAGCCAGTAGTCGTGGCGACGGTGCCAGACCTCATGCTCACGCCCGAAAGTCAAGGCTCTCTGCTCATTGGTCCATAAGGTATGCAGCTCAGTAAATCCTCCATCTGCGATGTTGAACATGAACTTCTGGTTCGTTTCCTCTTTCTTGATTTCTGCTTCAGTTGGCTTCTCTTTCTTGGTCTCTGGTTTCTCCTCTGGTTTTTCTGCAAAATTATCACATTGTTACTTAATCTGACCTCCTAAGGACATAGATGTTCCTCAGTAGAATTTGTGACTTTATCCTTATTCTTGTTTTGATATTATTCAAGCATAATATGTTGAAAATATGGTAATTTTTGAGTATTTGATATTATAGGTAGCACAGAAACTTCTCTACTCTTACTTCTCTAGCAAAACCAACATTGTACAATAATGTCATGACCTCACATGGACGTTTCTCTTCAAGTTTACCAAGACCTGAATTAATTCTGCAGTGCCTCAAAAGGCCGAGTGTATATAAATATTACATCCACTGAAGTTGACAGTGCCTTGAATCATAAAAAGTACAACGGTAACCTAAAAAGAATGCGAGGGCGACACTTATATCGTATGGGTGACCTTAGTCTCGATCTCAGAGATTGTAGTATTTATTTCATTATACTCAAAGACATTAACAAAGGTTTGAAATGTGTAATAAATATTGCATTCACATCAATTTCAACAAAATAACAGAAAACAAGTCCACCCTCCAACAATCGGTGTAAAATGTGCTGGTTGCTGCAACCATTCTGGCTTTGATAGTGGAAAATCATACGTAACTGTAAAAGCATGGTAGCTGTAACAGTTGAACAGCTGTTTGTAAAGCACTCTATCACTGACAATGGAACATGAACACAACGCGTCTCGACCAATAAGATCATACGACTTTCCCATAGAATATAATAACAGCATGTATTGACAAACACTAACCTTCCTTCTTCACTGGTTTAACATCTTCCTTGGATTCTTTGGTCACTTCTTCCTCCTTCTTGACCTCATCTCCATCCTTTGCCTCTTCCTTGAGTTCTGTGGATTTTGTCTCTGAAGACTCTGTTATCAATATAACAAAAGTTTGATGATGTTTCCCAATATATAAATGAACGCCTAATAATCCTGTTTATCATAAAGGGAAGGAAAAATTTTGTATCTATATAGGAATGACCCATAAAGGCAGAACTGATCATAGATTCTCCACAGCCAATCCTTTATAGGTAAACCAAATTGATCATTGATGAAATCCATCCTTTCAAATAAAACAATAGATAAGTTGATGAACAACTTACATATCAAAACTTGTTAAAACGCAGGTGTAAACATTCTCAATATTGACAACTGTTAAAACTCAAACGGATTTAACTGAAAACATGAAATGATGCCCACCTTCTTTCTTCTCCTCCTTTTCTTCTTCACTTTTCTTCTCCTCTGCCTTATCGTCCTCCTCAACCTTCTTCTCTTCATCTTTCTTTTCTTCTGTTTCCATTGCTTCTTCTTTCTTTACATCTTTTTCATCCGTCTCCATAGCTTCTTCTTTCTTTTCCTCTTCTGTCTCTGGCTTGGAAGCCTCTGATGATTCCGCATCTTTCTTTTCCTCACATTCATCTTTCTGTGGATTCAGTCATAAAATGGATACTTTTGAGAATATTTTCATTTTTTCAAAAATACAAATCTCATCCCGATAATAAAAAAAAAAATATTCATAGAACTGTTTCTAATAAAAATAATTCTGAAGGATATGTACACTGAAACTTCCAACAATAAGTCGGGTGAACTCATAATCAGGAGTTGTATAATAAAAATCAACAACTTAATCTTTGTGTTCCAATTTTTCACAGGAAGAACAGTTTTTCACACATTTTAATATTATAATACTTATCATTTTTTCTCTATACACTAAATTTCTAACAAAGGCCATGTCATTAACAAGGCTATGGTGTAAACAACTTAAATGCAAACCTCCTTTTCGTCTTCTCCTTTCTTTTCCTCCTCTTTGTTTACTGCTTCTTCCTCCTCACTCTTTTCGTTTTCTTTCTTCTCTCCCTCACTTGCTTCTTTATCTGTTGATTCCTCCTTAGCAGCGCTGGTGTCTTCACTTTTCACATCCAAGTTTGTTTCCTTTGGTTCCTCTTCTTTGTCTTTGGCCCCCGGGGTTGGTGACACTGCCTTTTCATCCTCTGTCTTTACCTTCTCTACGGCATCAGCGGCCTTGAGCTTTTCTTCTGTGGCCTTAATCTTCTCCATAGCTTCTGCAGACTTTACCTTTTCCAGTGCATCTGTTGCCTTCAAGTATGGCATACTGTGGACCCCATTTATTTGCTCAAATTCTTGTACCTGCAAAACAGATCATCTGATGCATGTACAATAACATCTTTCTTTATACAATACAAAAACAAATCTTTATGGGTGAGGACTTCAGTAATGTCTAGCCCGACATCCAATTCCTTTAACTTATTAGAAACTGTTATGTCTGATTAATGTATATAGGTTGAAGCAAGGTTGTTAGAAACCTTGTTAGCAATAACACTAACGCAAACAAATCAAATACTGATTTAAATAGAGTTTAATGACGAAACTTTGACCATTCCAAACATTCGTGCAAACAGACCATCACGGATAACACTGAATTCACTTTCAATAGTTCAATAGGCACCAATACACTAGTTTACTGGACAAGATATTAGGTACTCTGTAATCCAAGTTGTCTAGTGTAGTGGTGAATGTTTTCTTTTAATTAGCATTTAATATCCTATAAATTCACAATTCAGATATATTGGAGAGTTGTATCTTTACTTCCACTTGTCATCATTTAACAGAACATACCAATGATCCAACGTTCTACCTTATCTGATCTGTTGCATGTCTCTCACTTTGTGCTTAAATGGACAGATTTCAAGACTTAAACAAGACTTAATTTCTTAATCATGTCAAACCAATCGCTTACCTTCTTTCTGACTAAAGACATGATGCCGATTCGAGTGAGAACATGTTGTCGTGACAACCCCTCCCGTGGAACACCATCCGCAAATGTCTCTGCATTATCTGCTCCTGGTTCACACAGATGGCGCATAAACAATGAGACATAGGCCTTAAATACCTTCTCGGACTTGTTCCTCAGATCCCTCACCAACCTGACGGAAAGAATTGAAATAAGAAATTGGCTGAAAATTAATCACAATAACCTACCTAGTTCAGTGTTCTACACACCCTGCTTTAGGTGGAGCAAGTACATGAGGATAATTTTAATGATTCAAAATTGATAGGCTTGACAAGGACCAACACTAAATAATGTGCAGAGTTGTGTTGTTCTTAAACAAAAACAAAAACTAGAAATTAATATTTTGTGATGTCTTCTATTCATTTGATAGGGAGTCATTACAAACTAAATTTGCATACTTTACGAGGCAAACATATACAATTTTACAGCAGTTCTAATGGCGGTTTGTAAATTGATTCGAAAACTAAAACCAGGAATTAATTTTGTGTCAGACTAAGGCCCCAGATCAGTTGTGTTACGTACCACTGTGAATTAAATGCATCCTGTGGTGGCATGCCGTATCTCATTACAGCATTCAGGAAGGCCTTCCTCTGTCTGGCATTGAATCCAAGCACCTGGAATTTTAAGTTTTGGTAATTAATAAATCAATTCAATCCTTCACCCAATGCAAACCAATAAACCTAGCCATTCAGAATTGATGGGGCTAAATAATGTCTGCCATGTGAATGGTCATTTTACTTTAAAACAAATTCTGAAGGTGATTGTTTTTCCAGGGTCCTTCTTTGCACATATTTTTAATTTATCACTCCGAGTTGTTATTGTCAAAAGATTTGAAAGAGGAAAAAATGTAAATATATAAATATATATCTATATCTATTACATGACAAAATAATTTGATAACTATCAATTACATGCATTAATAGTTTGGACAAGGTATAGTAGGGGATCTACAAATCAATAATTGAAAACTATGTCTGTAGCACAGTGCCTTTGAGGAACAGTCGAACTTGTGACAGACCCTCCTAATAACCGTGCTAATTTTGTCTGTGTCCACTTCGAGAGGACGAAGACAATAAGTCATCACCCATGGTTAGATTCCATACCAACTGTGGACAAACTGAGAGTTCAGGATTTTTCAGGATTGATTTCCAACACTTATAAACATTCAAAACATTTTTTAATTGAATACTAAAACCTGTAACCTCAATCCCCACAAGATTTTGGTTTGTTTCGAGTACTACTGACCTCAATTTGACCGTTAACCCTGGCCAACAATGGTGGTAGTGGGCGATCCCGGTCATTCCTCTCCCTCCGACGACTCTTGGATGCTGATAAAATAGAATTTTCATGTTTCATTAAACAGGAGCAATTATCTTAGACCATTAACACAAATAACCAGACAAAATCTTATTTTGAGTCACACTGTCTCAAGAATGTATATGATATATACATTTTGTATTCAGTATTATATTCAAAATTTGCAGTTATTTTCCCCTTTATTTCTTTTACTTATGAGTAATGTTCCTGAAAATTGAAAGTGTACTGAGGTTTTCCAAGAATGCCATATTATACCATCAAGTATTACTTTGGTCCTAACTGACAGTTTGAAAAAAACAAAAACAATAAAAGATGAATGAGAACACCATGTTGAACTCCCACTCACCACTCTCCTTATCTTCAAAATCATCATCATCTTCATCTTCATTCTCACCACCGCCTGGCCCACTGAAGTCTGAGTCAAAGTCGGACAGGTTATCTTTCCAGGCATCATCCTGGCCCGTCATGGCATCGTTGTAGTTGACCTGTTTACGCACACGCTTTCCCTTGCCGAGAGTCCTGGCCAGATCCTCCTGCTGCTGTTCGTAGTGGTGGCGCAGCAACTTCTCCCAGTAAGCTGGGTCTGCATGCTCCGCCTCCTGTTTTAGAACCTCCGTCTCTGGCTCCTCCTCCTGGTGATTTGAATATACACAGGATATTTTATTGCTATGAAAAGTCAGAATATTCACGTCAGGCATACTGTTGCTAGTTGTTACAAATATTAAGGGTTTAAATCAGGAGTTTTAAATACCCAAGATGAAAATTGGGATAAAAAAATACTTCTGGGTAAAATGGAGAATTTGGGGTCTGAAGTCGATGGACAAATCAGGACCAAAAAAAATTCTATTTCAAAATATGCAGTCCGGTTATTGCTGAACCTCACAGCTGAACAAGGTTGATTATCTGAAATTTGGGTCTTCCTTCTAACTAGAGATATTTCCTCATATCTTAAAGGTTTATTCATAATCTCAACAGATTAACCTGACCAGTTATTAATGTGTATAAAACTGTGGTACAGACCTCTTCACCTTCCTTCATGGAGTAAGTAGCGACCTTGAAGGAGCTGAGGTACTCATTCATGGCCATAGCCTTCTCCTCTTGACCCTCCTGGGTCCGATCCAGCAGCTGTTCTATGGCCGAGTCATCGTACACGATCCTTTGCTCGTCCTCTGCTTTACCCGCTACAAAGTAGTAAAATCATAACCCTCTGTTATAGATCACTTTGTTTTATTTGATCGTATTCCAAAAATAAAACTCATGCTTTCTTTCTAGTGTAGTTTTAAATTATCTTTGTGCATGCATTAAATCTCCTATTTTGGACACAATTTCAATGATACAAGTTGACAAGAATTAGCTTTTACCCAGAAGCTGTTTACCATCTTCTTCATCCTTAAATAGCTTCTCTGTGCCAAACTTGAGGATGTCGTCCATTTCCTGGCGCGACATGGCGCCGCCTTTGTTACCAAGTCCAGGTCGCACCACCAAGTGAGTCAACATCATCTTCTTCTTTGCCACCTGGGTAATTCTCTCCTCTACAGACCCTCGAGTCACGAACCGGTAGATCAACACACGGTTTGCCTGCCCAATCCTGTGGGCACGACTAAATGCCTACAATATGATATGGCAGGTTTATCATTATTAATGGATTCAACTGATCTGGTCCAACATGATCAAAATGTAGACTTCAAATTTACTGTGGGCTCGAATGTCTGCCCACATGGTGCATTCATCCTATTATTACTGTGGACTCAAGCGTACGCCTATCACACAATTTGCCAACTTTAAGATAACTGCGGACTCAAGCGTACGCCTATCACACAATTTGCCACCTTTAAGATAACTGTGGACTCAAGCGTACGCCTATCACACAATTTGCCAATTTTAAGATTACTGTGGACTAAAGCGAACACCTATCACACAATTTGCCAATTTTAAGATTACTGTGGACTCAAGCGAACGCCTATCACACAATTTGCCAATTTTAAGATTACTGTGGGCTCAACTGTATGCCTACTGAGTTTATACTGGTAGTACAACATGATACTTCAAACTTTTATCATTACAAGACTGTACACCTACACTGTATGTAAATAATAATTTTTGTTAAGTCTACTGAACATCTAAAATATCTGAATTTTAACACCACTGAAGGCTAAACACTTACAGCCCGATACTGTATACCAGTATTTGCCAACTGCAGTTTAACTTTTCACCATTTTGTCCCCCGCCATAAGGGTGAATTCATCATGAAAGGAACTTAATACACAACTTACTTTACCTAGTATTTCCAGAGTGATAAAAATTACTATTTGATGAATATGAAGAGTTCACTTTGAAATCATTTCCCGATATACCTTCCTAAGTTATTATGTAACTACCCTGATATACCTTCCTCAGTCATTATGTAACTACCCTGATATACCTTCCTCAGTCATTATGTAACTACTATGGGAGTCCAATTAGATTGAAACTTTACCTGAATGTCGTTGTGTGGGTTCCAGTCAGAATCATATATGACAACAGTATCAGCGGTGGCCAAATTAATTCCAAGACCCCCAGCACGTGTCGACAGCAGGAAACAGAATTGAGGTGCATTTGGAGCTGTGAGGATAATAACAAGCGTAAATGTTAATTTTCTCCTGCAAACTTTATATATCGATTATCTTTTAGTTTAAGACTGAAGGGTGAAGAGAACGACAGCAACATTTCCATCAATTCTTTTTAGCTAACTATAATCTAAAACCTGTCAATATATATTTGCTTATAACAGTAAACACAAACTTTTCGGAGTAAATTTGGAGCATGACAAAATATCTTGAGGAGCTGAAGCAAAGGTATTGAAAATCAGATAAACTTAACAAGTCATTAATTCAAAATTTCAAATGCTATTTTTCTAATGATTTATGAAAATTTATCAATGCTTTAGTGTTTATCTTCAGATAATCATGAAGAATATCTATGCATACAATTTAAGTTTTAAATTAAATCTTTATAAAGATATTCCAGATTTAAATTTGTTAAGTTGTGCTCCTGCTAATTAAGCTTTGAACAACTAAGCCTCGGCAGTAAATAACTTATTTCAGCAGGTTGAATTTACCATTAAATATATCAATGTTAGTACAGAACTTATCTAAGCAGGTTAAATTTACCATTAAATCTATCAATGTCAGTAAAGAACTTATCTAAGCAGGTTAAATTTACCATTAAATCTATCGATGGCGTCCTGACGCAATGCACCAGTGATGCCGCCATCAATCCTTTCGTACTTGTAGCCCTCGTGTTCAAGGAAATCTTCAAGAATGTCCAACATTTTTGTCATCTGTAAAACAGGACAACACATCGCTGAATTATTAACACACAATCTAGGATAACCTCCAGACAAACCCAGGTGCACATCTCTACATTTTACTGCTAAGGGCTGTTCCATAGTTTACTGTATGGATGAGGTGGGAGGCACCTGTATATAATGTATTAGGGGTGGTGGGTTTAAAACCAGATCTGCATACCATTTCTTATATTAAATAATTTCTCAGAATCTATGGGTGGTGGGATACCTGAAAAAATGCCTCCAAACCCCTCCCCTATGGTTCATTCTGGAACAGTCCTTGACATAAAATACTCAATGAAATTAATGCTACCATTTTCATACCTGTGAGAATATTAAGACCCTATGTCCATTTTTGTTCAAATTTCTCATCATCTTTGCGAGCAGGTCCAGCTTGCCACATGCCTTTATCAGTGCATTTCCCTCGAACATTCCATTAGCAATTTTCGGTGCTTCCTGAAAGACAAGAAATCAACAGATTAGCAAGTACTAGGAATCAAGAAGAAATTTGATAGATCCATTTGCTCCAGTTTATAATTTCTATTCCTACCAACAAAACAGCAGAGGTTTTGGTTTATCATAAAATTAATGCAATCAACAAGTTGATTCACACCTTTCTGTTATTTGATTGGTTAAAATCCTAAAGAACGGTTTGAGAATAATGAATAGAACAGGATTGAGAAGCTGCTTTAACAAATATATTTCTGACCTGACAGATGTTGATGAGACCAAGTGTCAGTTGAGACAACTTTGACTGGTATGAGAGAGGATTTATATATACATCGTTGGTTTTTCAGCTTTGTGAGTTTTAGATGACAATAGAGACTGAACACACAAACACTGAAGATATAATTATCAGAAAGTTCAATTGAAGCTTTGTTGGGTAGACTTACATTTGCTGCTGTAGGGAAAAGATAGGGATGGTTGCAACATTTCTTCAGATCCATCATGATGTTCAGCAGCGACACCTGGCTACCCCCTCTCAAGTTAAGAGCATCAAAATTCCTCGTCAGAATGTACTTGTAATATTTCCTGTTTAAAAAGAAACATTATTGTATATGAAATCTACAGTATTCAAACACTGTTTCTGACGCTGTTCACTGCTGTCAGAGATAAGTTTGGCAACAATACGAATGTAACAAAATGTTACAACTTTTTGAGTATCTTGCATCAATTTCTTGCCTCCAGGTATATCACCATTTTTGATGGCTGCACAACTGGCACTCATTGTGAAACAAGAATAAGAATACAGGTGACCTACATGTTCCAATGTCTGAAGTACAATGATTCCCTGCTACATCACAATACTGACTTGTCAAAATCAGCCAAGAAGAGAACTGATCCTGCTGAGTGATGAAGATAGAAAACTTCAACCAGAAGATAAGATATTTTTGTGTCCTAAACATCACAAAGCAACAATCTGGAGGTATGAAAGTTTATGCTGGAAATTTCTCCTACACTACATTTTTTATTATATATATACCAGGCAGGATTTCTTCTATATGGGGCTGACAATGACACTAATAAAAATGTATACTGTATTTGAACTAAGTCAATGATTATCATCCTAATAGACACCTTATGTTTAACAGCACATTGATTTAAATGTCCCCCTCCTAGACAATTTTATAACAGTTGATCTGAAACTGGTTTTGACACATGTTTTGACATGGAACTATTTAATACGATCTGTTATTTACAATGATAAAAGACATGTCTAGCTACTGTTTTTACTTTTGCATTGGGCTCAGCTCGACTCGGACGATAAACTCGCTCTTGGTAGGCATGCCCTTCAGGACATCCGCTTTCAGTCGTCGCAGCAAATGCGGCCCAAGCATGTCATGAAGACGTTTAACCTGCTCCTCCTTCGCTATGTCAGCAAATTCATCCAGGAAACTCTGTAGCTGGCTGTCAATCAAAGATGAGCCTTGTTAATAGGAGCTCTGGTAGTACCTAACACTAACTACTAAGAAACACCATATATGGATTTATCACTCCCCTTGTTAAGTCTACTTAATGCATCCAATCTGTATTTAGAAAATTAATGTTTTCATATATCTCCGCTAAGATGAATTCCAAAATGCAAGAAAAGGAAATATAACTTCAGTTGTATCTGTAATTTACGTATAAGATATTGAATTATGATGGCCACTAAATAAATACTACATTGTAAATGTGACAAAAACTTATCTTTTTTCAATTTCTCCATATTTTTACAATAATTTCCTCGAACTTCAACATGTTACCAAAATATCCAAGTTTCAACAATATTTTCTGGAATCAACTAGAATAGAACCCTGGTCAAACTTAATTCTTGTTTTACTTTTCCCATCTTTTAAAATAACATTAAGAGGTGTAAATAGAGAGCGAACTCACTTGAAGTTTTCCGAACTAAGAAAGTTCAACAGATGGAAAAGCTCCTCAAGGTTGTTCTGGAGTGGTGTTCCCGTCAACAGCAACTTGTAGGCAATTTTGTAATTACTCAGCACACGGAAAAACTGCAGAAATCATTTGATATACATGTGATGGTTAACAGAAAGTCCTTCAGGTTTTGAATCTACAAATTATTTAAGTCATAAGGTCCAGAAAATTTCAGGACCCAAGTAACCTTGTTGGGTTACCCAAGCCAATCATAACAGGCCTTCCACAATCGTACTGGGATTATCTTAAGGTGTTTTAATCATGTTAATACAGAAATAAACTCTTTAACAAGTACAATAGGAATTTTGTGTTAATACATTCTTGAACATCAAATTCAATTAACAATAAAATGTACAATATAATTTTTATATATACAACATAGATGTTGTGATTTGTGGAGGTAGTCTCCTGAACTTTACCTTTGACTGGTTGTTTTTAAGTCTGTGAGCTTCATCCACAACCAGTACTGCCCAGTCTACAGAACCCAGCGTGGCATTGTCAATACTGATTAATTCGTAAGAAGTCAGTAACACATGGAATTTCACGGGCACATCCTGCCTCATCTTACACGCCTTTGCTCCCCCGCGTATGGCCCCTTCTTCAAATGAAAACTCATGCTCCCTGGAAAACAATGTTCAAAATATTCAGCAAGGCTAGAGCAATGACAAAATGTTTATTAATAATAGGGATATTGACATTTAGTTAAATGTTAAATGCTGAAACAAGAAATCACAAACTCACTTGGTACCTTTACCTATGTGCAAGTTTTCATGGGAATCCCAACATGAAAAGAATCTCCTCCCTGATGGCAATATTCGTCTATTCATAGTAAAGTGACCTTCACCTTAGGTGTAAACAGCAGATAAACAAACTTATTCAAGTTACCTTGACACTACATCTCATAAATGAAGGCAATAGACAGATGTCATTACTGCCTGAGGCTTGGACATGGAACTATATGACCGTGGCTGTTGCGAGGATGTTAAACTCTAAACAAAACGAATATCGTGCATCTTAGCAGTAAGTTGTTGTTTGAGACCCATTTCCCAAAAATGAAGCATTAAAAGCCGTACCTGATGACTGCACGACAGTCCTTATCTCCCACGTAGGTCACCACATACAGGTCTGGGGCCCAAAACTCAAACTCACGCTCCCAGTTGATAATGGTAGATAGTGGGGCGCTCACAAGGAATGGCCCTTTGGAATGTCCCTGTGAAAAATAGTTTGTTACATAATAGAAGAGAAAACATTTCAAACTTGTAACAACCTACTCGCATCAAACTTGTAACAACCTACTCGCATCATTTAAGTTTCACTCCATCTGAACTTCTGTGATGAACAAAATAATGTTTGAAATATAAATTCAATTTGTACCAGATTCTGTAAAACTATAGCAGAAAGATGCACAGCACATCTAGATAGAACATCAAATCCAAAGATAGACTGCCTATATTTAAAACACACAGGTATAGAGATTTTAGCAGAAAGATATTATCTTTAGTGATTTCCCTGTAGATGGACGCTTTATATTGAGGACTTCATTTGTGATTGGATACAATGGTAAAAACTTGGTGGATTCTGCCCAATGAAGCACAGAATTGTCGATTGTTAACCGACTCGACCATCATGTGAATACTGAGTTTTAGAGTAAAGAAAGGATTGTCAAAACAAAACTGGCATGGATTGTTAATCTTTTTATCTGAAAACAGGCCATACCTCTTTGTAAAGAGAAGATAGAAAAGCGATGGTCTGAATTGTTTTTCCAAGTCCCATCTCATCAGCGAGGATGGTATCCGTACCGTTCACCCATGAGTACCGTAACCAGTTCAGGCCCTCCAGCTGGTAGGGATGGAGAGCACCTCCCGTGGAGACGATGTACGGGGGATCCCTGTCCAGTTTCTTCCGTAACTGTACACAAATAAGAAAATCATTGAGATAGTATACAGGTAAAAAGTAATTAGTCCCATATTATTGAAGTATCGGTAAAACACTAATTACCGTTCTAAAGTTTTATTTGTAATATTTTTTGTAATGATTTTGACACACATACTATTGAACAGATCTTTCTCATTTACTTTCCATCACAGCTGAAGAGTTTAAAATGATTTTTGCTAGATACAACCTAATACGTCTTTTCTGAGATTATGACCTCCCTCCATGTTTCAAATCTAGGCCAACAAGAGCTTGTTGAAAATATGTTTATAACTTGCTTCACTTGGTTGCGGGGTGTATAATACATGTTGGTGGTATACTTACATCTGCAGTAGGGAAACTAGGGGGCATTTTGTCCGATATGTCGATTTCTTTGTCCCTCTTCTTCTTCTTTTTCCCTGGTCCTTTCTTGTCTCCATTCCCAAACATCATAGCTCTGTTTGTTCAAATTACAGTTTGAGTCTTCATTGTTTGAATAATAGCTAATGTACAATTAAAATCTTTTATCATCGAACCAGTACTGCCTAAATATTAATATCATAAAACATAGTATAGCGCTGTTTCCAATTGGGACCCAATTCCAAAACAAGATATTGATGCAACTAACTTCAATTTTAATGCCGACAATTGAAAGTTACAGCAATTTTACTGCAAATTCAGCAACTATATGACCTTTAATCTAGAAGTGAAGGTCACAGTGACCTTAATACAGTGCACTGCAGAATTTTTCAACAGTTTAAAAGTTACAGCTCAGACAATAGACTATTAAATCCAAAAGAACCCACAACATTACAATTCTGTAAAGAAACATACTTTAGTGGAAGTTATATTTTATTGTTTTTTGTGTTAACTATTGTGCTAAGTTCTGATGTTTCTGTACATTGTCATCTTTTGCATAGATTGCAAATGCTCCAATTTATGTGCTAAATCATTAAAATTTGATAATGCGCTTAAACTTTTTTTGTCATTTCTTTTGTAGGGCAGACATAACTTTAAATGATCATCGATCACCAGGCAAGAAACAGATGCTGTCACTGATGATGGTAGTAAATGTTTAAGGTCATGCACATACCTGAGGACCTCGTATTCATCAATGTATTTGCGGAGGTTTGCAACACCGCTGTCTTCACTTTCCCAGGTGGCTTGATCATATGGAAGGTCAGACCATTTGACCAGGTACCATGTATTATCCTTGGATGTTCTAAACAGGCAAAACAGTATGACATTAGTTTTCAATATCGTTTTTTACCTGCTTGAAATCAACATGTCCTTATTTTTATAAGGTAACAAGAGGCCCAGAGGGCCTTTATCGCTCACCTGAATATGTTTAAAATAATTGGTATGAAGTAAAGATGTAGCCCTCCATGGTAGGTGCTGTCCATATGAAATTTCATAAAGATCCATCCAGTACTTGAGATATAGCAAGAACAAACTTCAAACAGAGCCCAACCCCTATGCCCCTAGGGGTTCATACCCACCAATTATATAAAATTGAGTCCACTTGACCCAAGGATGCTCCAGACTAAATACGGATAAAATCCCTTAATTCCGATGGTCGAAGACGGATTTTAAAGGTTTTACCTCTATTTCTCCTATTGGGCCCCGCCATCAGGGGAGTTTGGGGGGTAAGACACACCGTTTATACAAAATTGGTTTCCCTTTACCCAAGGATGCTCCACACAAAATATGGACAAAATCCTTTCATTCCTACAGAAGAAGAAGGATTTTAAAGAATAATTTGCTATGTTTCCCCTGTTGGTCCCCACCCCTCAGAACATTTTTGGCTCCGCACCCAGGGGGGCCACACCCACCATTTATACAAAATTGAGTCCCCTTGGCCCATGGATGCTCCAGACTAAATTAGGATAAAATCCCTTAATCCCTACGGGAGAAGAAGGATTTTGAAGGTTTTACCTCTATTTCCCTTATTGGGCCCCGCCCCTCTGCCCCCAGGGGTGCCACAACCACCATTTATAAAAAATTGAGTCCCCTTGGCCTAAGGATACTCCAGACCAAATTTATTCAAAATCTACTCGGCCGTTCAGGACAAGTAGCGTTTTAAAGGAAAAGTTGACGGACGGACATGGACGCTGCGGTATGGCATAAGCTCACCATGGTCCTTCTGACCAGGTGAGCTTAAAACTCGGGTAAGTTGTCTGTGTGAAACACCTGGACAATTGAACAATAGGTCTGGCTAACTGTACATCGCCCGAGGTGATCACCTGTCCACTCCAGGTAAATCTTTCACCTCGCTTCAGCATACAGTTTGTATTTATATTTTTCCATGTTTCCACATCAATCTATGTCTGATTAATATAGGGCATCTCACTTCCGGTTCATACAACATAAAAACGATCAAAAACAGGTTGATCGGTTATTATGATATATCAGTTATTTTGATATTTTTCTCTGGCAAATAGAATATCATAATTAGCAGGTTCCACTGTATAAAGTAAAATAAAACCACATTGAACTATTTTGATTTGTTCAACGTTTAGCATTACATAGGATTTTTTTGTGAAATATTGTGGGAGACTTGTTAGGGTCTGGCAATATACTGACAGAGAGAGAGAGTTATAAGGCCTTGCAATATATCCAAAATTTGTTTAGTTTTGTTCAGAGTATAATGTACTCATAAAAGCTAGTTATACAAAGTCAACAGAAAAATGGAACCTTGAAACTGTTAGCAATTTACAATGTAACCAACGATCAAGGGGATTATAAACAGATACAAACAAGTACACATTGTTTATTGGCAGTCTCCTTACTTGTGGTTAATGATTCGGTGGACCTCGAGCCATTCCGGGCGGACGCCATATTTGTAGAAGCGCTCCTCCAGATTTTCGCCATCATCCTTCTCCTTGTTATAATCTGAACCCCTTTTGCCCTTGATCTTGTGATAATCCTTCATGCCATAACTGCTGCCATCTTCCAGCGGTGGGGGCTCGTCCATGTCATTCTTGCGAATGTAGTGTCGATACATAGCAGGGTGGTACACATCAACCTGAGAAGTGACCAAGCATTGATTCATCGATTCCTCTACACATACAAAGTCTTACCTATAGAGAAGCTAAGATTTCTTCTTTTCTCAAGACCCATTAATGCAAATGAGATCATGTGAAAAGCTTAATATGTTGTTTCTTTTTTTGAAGAACCTTTAATGGAATTAAGGCAACTCAAATTAGCTTATTGATATATGAATTGTATAGCTATTTTATTTTCATCAGCAAAAGCTGTATATCTGCACGTAGTTCCAAAGTCAATATAAACTTGAAACCATTGTAATAAAAGATGTCTTGATATTTTAAAAATGCAAATATGTGTTTGTTAAAGTAAATGTATTCATTATAATATACAGTATCAGTTATTAAATTAAACCAACAACTAATCAAAATGGTTTAAAATATTTTTGAAAAATTAAAATTTGTTATCTTCCAGAATATATCAGGATCAGTCAATATACCAAGCGGATGTACTATGGAAATAGAAAGCATGATGATTATAACAGCTTACCCTCAACTCGCTGATCCAATCACAATGCCAGTAACTTAAATTGCGGAACTTGACAAAGAATTCCCGGGTTGGCTTGATGTTTGCCTGTTGTGAAGAGAGAAAAATGTTCAACATATAAAACATCCGACTTCTACAGTCCAATAGGTATTTTTGATGAGCAAGCATATCAATTACTTAGCAACTAACTCTTTTTTAACTTCCCAAAAGATCAAGAATATATATTAAATTAAAGCTATGGCAAGAACTTACAGCCCATAAGATGTGACTCACACGTGTGAAATTTGATAATCTAAAGGTTTGTATGTTAATACTACAGAAGCATACCTTTTTGGATGGAGGATGAGCATGGGTGTGATCTAGCTCGTCTAGTTTGTCCTCCTGCTCGGGCGGTTCAGTCCAGCGCCAGGTCAGTACTTTCTCCACATGACCCGCCAAGGGCTGAGCCTGAAAACGGCATCAATAACCAGTAAGTCAAAAACATGAAATTCAAAGTCACTAGAAAAATATCAACATCATAATCAAGTCACCAAAAATAGTAAAGGCATCACAAATATGTCACTAAAATGTCAAAAACATTGTAACTGCAATTTACCCACCATCAATCGCTATATTGATAAACTAATTACTGATTTACTATTAAGCATTAAACACATTGATTGCTAATTAGGAAAATACAGATACGACAATATATAATTTTCAAAATCTGCAGAATGTGGAATTAGGGATAATACAATAAAAATACTTTGATAAATCAATGGTACTTTATAGAAATACTTCGGTCACTTAATTCTCACTTCTACTAACAAGAGGAATAAGAAGAACAACTCACAGAACATCTAGGACACAGCCAGTCACCGTCAGGAATGTCCTTGACATGTGGGTTCACACAGTGCATGTGGTAGGCAGATGGACACTGGTCGCAGCAGAGTAGCTCGCCCCCGTCCTTACACACACGACAAAACTCCATGTGCTCATCCTCCTCCTGTTCCTTTATCCCTTCACCCTCCTGAAACAAACATATCATTTTATATACACTCTCCAGTTATGTTACAAACCATTGTGTTTAATACTCCACTTTTAAATGTAACTTTAAGACGATAACAACAACAACAACAAGAGGCCCATGGGCCTTAATGGTCACCTGAGTTATGTGAAAACTGATGTTATCGATGTTGCCAAATGAAAAAGAAATCACTTTGTAACAAAAGTAACTTGAACTACATGTAATGCAAAAGTTGTGTGAAAGATCTGGGTAGTATATGTACTATGTACAAATAGTGGTTCTGTCAGTCAGCTAATTTTGGTTAAGCACCTTAAGACCCTTCCATCTATGACGAATATTTGATTCTACTATATCTGGATCTTGAGAAGAAGGTTTTTGAAATTTTAGTCAATTTGACCCTTTTTGCCCCACCCCTCTGGCCTTTGGCCATGGAAGGTTTCTGCAAAATTTCATTGAAATTGGGTTCAGGGTTTTTGGAGAAGTTGAAAATGTAAATTGTTTCGCACGCACGATGGAAGACACCAGACAAAAGGCGATCACAATAGGTCACTTGAGACTTTCTCTCTGGTGACCTAAAAATCTCAAACTCAAATTCAAACTAAAACAAAGCCTTATCATGAATGTCAAACTCAAAGTGTTTTCATTTAATTAAAGATATATTGTGTAAAAATTTGATATGTTCTGATTCATGAATATATAACTATGACCATGGTTACAACATACTAACTTTTAAAATGTATGTTACCTGTAATATATGAACTGTATAATCGTACAACAATTTCAATCAAATTTCTTGTGTTTTTATAGATACTTATTTCACAATTATAATTATTCCCCTTATGTTTTTAAGCCAGCCCTACCCTGGAAAACTTACACAATGAGGACAGCTCCATTTCCCTTCAGGTGCTTGCTCTAATTCTGGATCCAGACAGACAAGATGGTAGGCTCGAGGACATGTGTCACACAGGATTATCTCCCCTCCCTGCTGGCAAACCTCACAGTAATCCTGGTGGTCAGTCTGCATTAAAAAAAAATAAAAAAAATGCCAAAGCTTTGCGAAATTTGACTTCCAATTACCCATAAGCAAGGATGATAATGTGCAAAATGAATCATACTGTATAAAAGTGGGATGATTCTGAGGAAATTTGTGCTATTTTGTCATTGCAAGTTTATTTCTCACAAATATAGGGTTTTACAAATGAAGATTTGATGAGATTAGCATTATTACAGAGGGTTACATTATTTAGTGGAAGGTAATACAGAAATGTATGAAACAATGATGAGAAATGTAAATATACACTTTATGTACAACACATGCAGCCTAGTGTCACAAACCTCGTAGCCTTCTGCATCTGGATCATTGGGAAATTTGTTGGTAGTCTTGGTCTTCTTCCTACTACCCCTGCCGCGCCCCTTCTTGGTCTTCGGTTTTCGCCTTGGTACTGGCTCTGCCTCCTTGACCGCCTCCTGCAACAAGGAAGCCTCTTCCAGCTGACGCTCAAACTCCTCGTCACTTGTGTTGAAGGCTGCATCTTCATCCTGCAATTTTTTTAGGAAAAGCTATATATATTTATGGCACTCCAGACCAGATTTCTTTTCCTTTATTGGCACATGACCCTCTGATAGAAAATGTTATAGAGACCTCAATACATCACATTTATATAACGTCATTGACAGCAATTACATTATTTAATGGCACTTAACACACAAGATTGATAATAAAGCATATTTTGATTGCTAAAATTCATATGTAAGCCTTTTTCAGGAATCCTTGGTTATTTAAATTTGTTAAATAGTTTGTTATTGACCCACCGCTGGAACATATAGAGTCACTTAGAATTACAAATTGGAAAGCCTTCTACAATGCTGAGCCTCTTATATTTCTTAATAGGAAAGGCTTAATGCTGAGCCTTCTTATATTTCTTAATAGGAAAGTCTAAATGCTGAGCCTCCTATATTTCTTACTGGGAAAGTTTTAATGCTGAGCCTCTTATATTTCTTACTGTTTAAATTTTAATGCTGAGCCTCCTATATTTCTTACTGGGAAAGTTTTAATACTGAGCCTCCTATATTTCTTACTGGTTAAGTTTTAATGCTGAGCCTCCTATATTTCTTACTGGGAAAGTCTTAATGCTGAGCCTCCTATACTTCTTACTGGGAAAGTTTTAATACTGAGCCTCCTATATTTATTACTGGGAAAGTTTTAATACTGAGCCTCCTATATTTATTACTGGGAAAGTTTTAATACTGAGCCTCCTATATTTATTACTGGGAAAGTTTTAATGCTTAGCCTCTTATATTTCTTACTGTTTAAGTTTTAATGCTGAGCCTACTATATTTCCTACTGGGAAAGTTTTAATGGTGCGCCTCCTATATTTCTTACTGGGAAATTTTTAATGCTGAGCCTCCTATACTTCTTACTGGGAAAGTTTTAATGCTGAGCCTACTATATTTCCTACTGGGAAAGTTTTAATGCTTAGCCTTCTATATTTCTTACTGGGAACGTCTTAATGCTGAGCCTCCTATACTTCTTACTGGGAAAGTTTTAATACTGAGCCTCCTATATTTATTACTGGGAAAGTTTTAATGGTGCGCCTCCTATATTTCTTACTGAGAAAGTTTTAATGCTGAGCCTTCTATATTTCTTACTGGGAACGTCTTAATGCTGAGCCTCCTATCTTTCTTACTGGGAAAGTTTTAATGCTGAGCCTCCTATATTTCTTTTTAACTCCATTGTTATAGTGGGAATTACATTGTACTTAAATACATTTGCACCAAGACATATATTTCTAGAAAGAAAAGAAAAAACGGTGGGGACAGACAATATAAATTGAAAACATATCATTCTTTCTAATTTCTTAGATCAGCATTAATCTATTTCAATACACTAACTGAAGCACTCTTCTTCACTTTTTTCTTTTTCTTGTTGATTTTTATCTTGAGGGGAGCAACTGTTTTCTTTGACTTAGATTTCTTTCTTGGCTTCTCCTCTATTGGTGCCTCATCCTGAGGTTCTGTATCCTCGTCGCCTGTAACAAGACATACCAAAACTGAACATCAGTAAGGCATAATATCAACGAAAAATATTATTTCGGATTATTTCCTCCTTTTTTATTAAAGAATAAAATGTGTACGACTGTTTAGAAAACCTTGGCTTGTAACATAAATGCAATGATGTATCTATAAGGAAAATTAAAAAATAGTCTGTTAGAAATAAAATATTCTGCATCAATTCCAGCCTCAAAACTTTAGATATGGAAGGCAGAAAGGTTAGAAAATACCTGTTATTTATACGTATGCACAAAAATTTATTAAATTAGATGTAACACTGATTTCTTTTAAATAGGTTTCATAAATATTTCTCCTCCTTATCCGAAGGAAACAAGAACTTTCACTCTCACCATTATCCCTCAGAGAATCGTCTGCATTATCCTCTCTATCCGACTCTTCTCTGTCCTCTTTCTCCTTTACGGGTTCTGCTACTTTCTCCTTTGGAGCTGCACTTGTACTCCCCACTGTATCCCGTGTTTTGTTTCGAGCTGCTACCAGTTGAGCAAACTCCCTCCACTTGGCCCCTATCAGTGTAACCATCTTTGCCATGGGCACCTTGGGGTTTGCCTTCTGTATAAGAGGCTGAACGTGCTGCTTGAACAGCTTGTAGTTATTCAGGGTAGTGAAGTCATCATCGTCATATTCAATGTCAATGTTATTGATACCCAGATCATCTGCAATAATATCTGAAGGGCTCTTCTTTTCCTAGAAATGTGATAAAATATTGAATAATTCATTATGACACCATTGTAGACTATACCAATAGAAAAATTTCAATTCACGAAAAAAATGCCAGAAAATGCTAAAGGACATTTTTAAGGTAAACTGACCAAGTCCTTTCGTTTATATGCAACAAAGCCTATTCATTTGAGAGAAATTATTTAGTTGACCAAGTTGGTTTCAGTACCTTTTAGAATTGAATGGATTTCATAAAAAAATACGTTGTAGCCTACTTCATTTTAGATTAAAACCCAAAATGACTGTGATAATATCATAATAAGGGAATGTCTTGCGTATCTATCATGTTGAATACCCTAAGGTATTTATTTTCCTAACCTTTGGCGTAGTTGAAGGTGTGGATTTTGGCTTCTTTTGTTTCTTGGGTGGTGATATGTAGTCCTCGCTAACATCATCATCAAATCCCATCTGTGAGGTCAAACATAGACAGAGGTTAGTACAATACACTGTGGCAGGGGCGGAAGGTCAAATCTGTAGATTCACCAGTCAAGTGTGTCCCAGCTGGTCGTAGCATTATCTTGTGATGATCTAATTTCATGTACTAATAAAGGCTAAATTCATCTTTTTATGTGACATATATTCTACCTTCAAAGGTTTCAGCTGATATCAAATATAGCAAACTGCCTAACACTGTTCAGATATAACACTGCCTACCTCTTCATCGTCATCATATTTCTTCTTCTTCTTCTTACGCTTCTGTTTCTTCTCCGCAGGATCTTTGGATCGTCTCTTTTTACTCTTCTTCTCCGGTACTGGACTGTCTGCTACGTCATCATCTGTTCATATCAAAACAACACTTAATCACAAAACAAAGGATTTACAAGTGTACATATCTCTAATAATGCTATTACATTTATAATACCAAATGACTCAACAATGAATTTATTACCAAGTGTCATTACAAACATCAACGAAGGTAAAATCATTTCAAGGTCTACAAAGAACCTTTTTATGGCTATAATACTGAAGAAATGTTCCTTAAAGAAGAAAAAGAAAATTAAAAACAAGTTCTGAACTGAGAATATTTACAATAGAAATTTACATGACAACATCATATTTATAAATTGATATGACGATTTAGCGGATAGCTATAGCTGTCATCTCTATAACGATCCATTTCTACACTTTTCCACAACTGCAACACATTCTTGTTAAAATGTACAGCAATTGCTGACCACTCTAAATCACAAACTAATTTAGTTGCAAAGTCAGTCATAGCTATTTTTTCAAAAGTGGAGTACCAAAACATGTCCTTTACTTGATAACACAATTGGAATGTAAGACAAATCTGTAAAAAAAATTGGGGTCCCTTGATATGTTTACCCTTATTTTGTTACAAGAATGCAATTACAACACATTACTGAACATATAAGGGATTTTTGACATTTTCTGATTATTAATAGTATAATTATCATAGATTTTTGTAGAATATAAGTCCCAAATATCACCAATTATTAAGTGTCTTTTTTTAAAAAGAACTATATTAACAAGAAAACATTAGGTTAAACAAGCAAAACCCTGAATCCAATATATAGATTTATATGTACACTATGTATTATATAAATCAGCTTTGTGATAGCTGTGAAAATCTGTATCTAGGCCACACATTCAGTACAGTAATGTACAATGTACCGGGAACATGCATACGTTAACTACAGATTTATGATAAGAAACGCTATAGTGGCAGCGTGATGCTGGGACAGACTGTATTGATTGAGGGCGACACACTTTTGTAAAGTCGAGTCCCCAGATCTACAGTGTAGAGTTGCAGATTTGGCCTCTTTCTGTCTGCTACTCCTGCAGTTTTTACAGAATGTAGAATTATTGATTTTTAGGACTTAAAGCACAGAATCATTTGTCTGGTTATAAGACTCACTATAATGTCTATTCTCAAGGTTAGGTTATTCCTTGGGAAGTTGCTAAATTATATAAAGATCTTTTTATATCTTCTTACCAATGGAAATAGGTTGTGTGTAGTATTTAGCAGATTATAATGAGGTACTTAAACTAGGTCACATTGCATTCCGAGACATCTCTTTCTTTTTCCCTCCTGCACACCTATACTTTATATAACTTACGGTAAACCTCCGGTCAGTTCGAATCTGCGGATAGTTCGAACACTTATTTTTTTCAATAAAAACAATAATTTTCTAGCTAGTGATAGTTCAAACTCTGATTGACCCTATTTCGGATAGTCCGAACTTGTCAAATGAAGAACGCACATTTAAAGTAAGATTTTTTTTCGGCAAACTCCATCGATCGGCCCCGGAAAAATGCCAATACTTTGATCAACAGACACTTTTAGGGTAATGGGTTGTATGTGTGAGCATTGCATTACAGCTGTGACAGACAAACCATAAATATATGTCACAGATTTTAGCGTTGATTCATTTTTTTACATTGTTTGAAAATACATCGTGCACGAGACAGCCAATAGCAACTTAGGCCCCGACAATGTATAAATAACATGCGATCAGTATGAACTGATGTCACGCTGTACGGCAAACTAAGGAATCGCCCGTGTATTGTCAAATACAGTGTTAACTAAGCATTTTGATTATTTAATTGCGACCAGACATCCCTTAATTATTGCCAATCAAGGTGTTACCTTTAATGTGTGCCCTCACACCAGGTAGCTATAGGGTAGGACACGTTGTCGCGGTAGGGATCGGCCGCCCAGCCATTGTGAGTGACGTGTTAGCATTCATGTCAAAGTCCAAAAATCCACAGGTGTCCCAATTAGCGATGGGTAATTTTGAAAGTTTCAACTATGTTTGGTAGGTATCAGGACACAAGCTAGGTAGTCTAACTTTTGTGTCACAAATGAAACGTGTACTGACTGTTTAGGGGCCTATACATTGGCCTCTGCTTCGCAATAACGATAATAATTATCACGAAATGAAGAAAGTTTAATGATCAATTAACATTGAATTAAATAATATACTATCATTTTACCCATTTATAAATGTGCCATTGTTCTATGCCAGGCCGTCGTTGTTACGTATCGACCTTACATTGGATATATAGAGGTATACTCCGGTGAAGAAAATATGTCGGGGATATGTTTGTGACTTGATTTACACTTTGCCGAAAGTTCGAACTCACGCTTGATTTCTTAAGCATAATTTTGTATAATCCGATCAGGTTCATCAATATTTATTTAATTTTGTTCGAACTGACCGAAGGTTTACCGTAATGTATTATCTACTATCAGCAGTATTATCCCAACTGGTACAGTACTTGCATGACCAATGTACAAAGTTTTTGTGGAAAAATAATATTTTTGTTAAATTTCTAAACTGATCTCATCTTGTACTTGAACGCCCTTCTAATCTAAACACCAATGATTACTTGTAGTACCTACTTATACCATATACATCTATAATCACCATCCATATTGTGTACCTGGAGTCCGTTATGTAATATTGGGCATGAGAAATTCATCATCTTTCTTTTTGAATATCAGTACTATATTGATACATTTCTACAATGTACAGCTTTAATAATTAAAAAAAAGAACTACAAATCATTCATGTATATTCATAAGCCTATAGCTATTAGTTGACTAAGAGCTATTTGAAACAAGCCTGTCAAGCCACTAGCTTTTAAGGCAATTTATAATTAAGGCATCAGATATAGCCTTCCACACAGAAGGGACTATTAAATGTAAGTGCTGAATCACCTCTTGTGCATGCCTACCACCTAGTTACCAATACCTGTAATCTAAATATTTCTACAGAAATGTAGGACTCCCATCATCCATGCCCTGTTTAGCTCACCATCATATATAATTAAGGCATTATGCAATATAAATATAAACTGCATGCAACCATCATCAATATAGATCATTTGATTTGTATTAATACTTTTAATAGGTCAAAAATAAATTAAAGGTACAACATGCATGCTAAAAGCCTGCTACACATTCAGGAAATCTAGAAAATGAAAATAAAATTTAAAACGCTATGATGATCCTACAAAGTCTGAAAGCACATGTACAGCTCAGCACATACATATAAACACATGTATGCTTAGCATATCTATGACTTGTTGATTCAGAATATTTTTACATCAATATATGTTGAGGGGTTTTGAACAGGACAGTAATAGTTCCGTGAATGAAACACAGTTTCAGTTAAACACAGTTTCAGTTTCATATAGTATTCAAAATTGGAATGACAAACAAATCCAGAAAATCATCCCCAATTGACAGTCTAGATCTCCAGTTATAAATTCTGAAATAAATCTAAGAAAATGCAAAATTCTTATTTTCCTTAGAAAAAAACCCTAGTTCATTTAAACTCTTTGATAAAGTTGCAAATCACACTAAAATATAAAGCAAGGAAAATTGTTCAGAAACTAAAAGGAAAACTTTATACTGAAAAAGCCAACTAACCATGGAGTATTAAATGCATCATGAATATATACAATACAGAATTCATATGATGTACAATTTACTTGTAAGCATATATACAGCATTATACTGTACAAAGTACAATTCATATACTGCTAGGCTGTTGATCAGCTCTTCCTTAATTATATAAGATGTTTATAGCTGAACTACATACATATTCTGTGTTGCACATCAAATGAATGCTGAACTTAATCAATACATATAGCTAATTAGCCTGGGCATGACAAGAATTTTAACTGATAAAAAAAATTGCCATGATATTCTCGAAAGGGTTGCAATTGGTGCACCCCAAGTCCCTTCCCATTGAGAAACAACACTATTTAGCATACCCCTAGAAGTTGAACCCAATTTCAACTTTGCATACCATTTGCATCAAGATCATGTTGCATCTACTTTTAGTTTTATTGAAAATTTTTGAATATTTGGAGATGAACCCTAAATCTTCTTTAAAAATAAAACATGCAAATAAACCTCTACCATTCCAAAAAGATCATAACGAAATCGCCATTTTTTTCTGAAGCGTGTCATATTACAAATTTATATATATATTGTAATCTGGATAATACACTGTGCAGTGATCACATGATTTTTCCCCAGAGGTAGAGTCAAGACCCAGTTGAGAGGTCAAGAGATATAGAGGAGAGATAGAAAGTTAGTTATACAAATTGATGTAATAGTAGTTTTAGTTGTAGTTTGTACATCTGTGCTGTTTTACAGTTTATAGTTGGAGATAATTCAGTTTGAAGTGGAGAGATTGAGTTCACAATAGTGAAAACTTGTATAGTTTATGACAGATTAAAAAACTTGGGTTGAAATTAGTGTAAATATAAAGGTACTTATTTTTTTTATCAATTAAGTTGAACTGGACGCAGTGGAAATTGAGAACAGAAAGTATCAGTAATACAAAAGAGAATGTAACACTGGTGACCATCAGTGGAGTCTGGATTACTAAAACTAGTGTCCAGCAGTAGGGATAATTTAGAAATGTAACACTGGTGGAAGCACTACTGTAAATTATGTTGGTATATTCCATACAAATTTAGGAGGGTCAAATAATAATTTACTTCATTGTGTAGTTTGGGCCTGCTCAACACAAAAACTGTGAATGCATTTAATGTGTATTTATTTTACATGAATCAAAAATTATATATTTGGTGCCTTTCCTACTTTATTAAAACAATAACAAATCTTTAACAATCATGGAGGTAATCAGGAGATTTTCTTCACCAGAAAAACAAAATGAAAAAATAAAATAAAATGTTTTTTCTACCTATCTACCCTATCTTTTTGGAGCCGAAACAGGAAACACACATGTATATATATATTTTTTTAATTGGCCTAACCATGTATGCATTGAAATTTTTAAAATATCCCATGAAATTGGAAAACACAGTTAGGATTCAATTTAGCATGTCAGGCCCCTTTTTAAATAAACATTGTATTAATTCTCAGTTACCTTAATAAATCTTTATTTGGGCAAAGTACATGTACCTTGGTATATATTGTCCACTAGCCCACTGCCCAGGGCTTTATTGTAAGGTTAGTATTTTTTTTCCATATTTACTATTAATTAATAAGATATAAGCTATGCCAGTAGAATTTTTCGAAGTCTTTCTCCAGGGCTAATACTTTAAATTATATGATCTTTACATCTCAAATTATTGAAATTTCATGAAATAAAACTAACAAGAATTCCCATAATAATTTAGAAATTTTCTTCGGGTAAACATGAAAAACATTAGCTTTTTTCACAGGTATTTCCATATTACACCATATATAATAATTAAAACAAAAAATGACCAGCAACCAAGGACACTGCAGCATGCATCAGACAGAGGCACTCATTCCTGGGCTAGGGAGGCTGTACTTACAGGAAGTACCCAATCTAGACTCAGCCCCCTCCTGTTCAGGTGGGGAATACGGTGAAGGAGAGACATTTTGCGGAGTTGAATACCGCTCATCTGCAGAAAAATGTGTAGCTTTCATATATTTTCATCATAGTTATTTTCTTATTTACATCTAACAGTGTCTGGTGAATTTGAACATCGGACAGAGTAAGAACTCGCCGATTCCAACACAGCAGAGGATAAAGGTGGCACGAATGAAAATAGAAACAAACACGTACAAACATATAGTGTATGTTTACATTGAAACATTTCATTTCTCTCAACATCACTGAAAATTGTGGTATCATTTTCTCTTGAAAATCTAAAAACTTGACATTTTGCAGGTGACATTATAACCTTATTATTGTATTGAGACTGCAAAACATCAGTTAAAGGTTGTATATTGAAACTTCACCATATTGTTGTTTTCTTCATTACAAAGCATTATGTCCTGGATATTTTCAAAGATGGCTGGTAAATGTCATATCAATATGACTGTTAAAGCGACATTTCTTCATAACATATATATCCAATCATGGCAAATAAATCCTGTGAAAGTTTGTAAATAAAAAATATCTTATTTTGCTTATTGAGGGGACTTGCACTATGATTCTAAAAAAAATGCAAACAACACAAATTGTGTCAATTGTTCCAATAAAAAAAATAGCCTATAGTTGTGAGAGGTCACACAAGACATGCACAATTTGATACAATAACTAGTTGGAAACTTCATACAAAACTGAACAAGTGTTTCCTGAATTGATCAGGTTTATCGTGTTGATTTTTTTAATGACCTTTGTCTTCCTGACCATTTCTGTTTTAGTGTCTTTATAATGTATTTTTCGACAAAAGACGATACTTATAACTAAATAAAATACTACACTACCTGTGATTTTTGAAGGATTTTTCAGGTGAGTCAGAGTCCTGAACATCATTTTCAAATAGCTGAAGAATCCCATTACCAAAAATATAGTTTCTAACAATGCGAAGGAGTTCTACACACAAAGCACGAGTCTATAGTTAAGAAATAGATCTATGTATTGAAGGCATTTGAAAGTAAAATCAGGAAAGTATACACAATATCCTATAGTTTGACAATTTATGAAGAAATGTCTCTTTAACGATCACAACTTCCCACGGATGGTTGAACGATTAACTGCACAATTCCATTCCAACTACTCTGCATTTATAAAAATAATTATATCAAATATAACAGTTAACTCTGGGCTAAACAGTACTCTGTTTTGTATAAAAGCCACTAGACTAATTCAAAAATGGAAAATATAAGAATTAGCGCCTAAATTTTCTGTCAAGCTGAGGTAGTCAAAAAAAATACATGGACTTTAATTTTATCTGTAGACTGTAATATAAATCTAATTTCACAAAGGAGTAATGGTATCATGTTATAAACAATCAAACTCGATGTTAAGTGACAAATATGTTTTAATGATAAATCTTAACTGTCATACTTGTCTTACAACTGAACAGTTACAAAACAAAATATAACTGTTAATCAGCTGATAAGTTGGAGCACTTGTCTTCCGGGCATGCGCATACCGCAAGTAGACAGTATGATATCTATCCCGATATTTATCCCATCGATTTTGAAGTGAATTTTAATCAAACAAAAATGCAAGATACAGTATTTTTTTCCGCTTGAGCATATATTCATGTCATATAAACATTATAAGCCTTCGAAAATGGTGATATGAACGGGAAAACCCCTTCTAAAACGTAAATACACAGGATTTTCGTATCCTGTATGCAAATGAACAAAGACGTAGGCAAAGGGAATTCCGCTCGACTCGTGGTTTGAAAACATCTCCTGTATCCGATACAAACAGTGTTGTGTCGACGTGAAGTTAAGATTTATCGCTAATTAGATGTTCAATGAACACCGATTTGTGCAAGATGTTAAAATCGTGCAAGTTTCAACTGTCAAACTATCGGGAATTCGAAAGCTCCCATCAGCCTAATTAGGAAATTAAACAAAGTGATACCTTCACCGGTCTCTTCTCCGACATCCATACTTTCGTCGTTTTCGTCATTTTTCCCCGCTGAAGCCATGGTAGTCGATGTCAGTGATGATTAATATAACTCCTCTGGAACAAATATAGCAAATCCTGTCAGCACTATTTCTTGATGTGTACAATATAAAGCATCGGGGTACACATGGGTTAGCGGCTCTATCCCTTGCCCCTGCGTCGCTCGAGCGATTTGGTGCCCGGGTTGATCATGCGCAGTGTGACGTCACTGATTGGCGATACATCCCATAATTTCCGATTTTTGGCTTATAACCTATCACGTGACCAAACTGCATTTTTTTGTCATTAATTTAGTTACATATTGTGAACTACTTACTACCTGTTTTAGCTCTTCTTATTGGCAGTTTTGAGAACAACAGGTGCCCGTTACATAATACCAATTAGGTTAAATTAATTTTCTTGCAAATTTTCAATAAACTTCTGGAATCATATGCTACGTTCAATTTAAGTTGAATCCATAAATCATGCATAATTTAAGTATACGAACGATATCTATGTTATATATGCACTAAGCGCTCTTACCTAAATTCGTGATACACGTATTGATTAATCTATATCAATATGTAATCTACACTTGTCAGATATGTTTTATTTAGATTCACACGACACATCACTTAGTAAATATCACGTGCTCCTTTGTAACCAGACTAAACGTACGTCCGGCAACAAAACATACGTAACATATTATACTGAATATATAACAATAAAGTCACAAAAGTCCTTCTTTATAATCGATCGAATAAGACAATTCCCATTATACAAATTATAGGACAAAAATCTCGGTGTGGAGTACTTCTTGAGGAGAATACAGCGGGCCGTAAAAAAAACATTTTTGAAATGTAACTTTATTTTACAACAATTGCAAAATAAGTTCTATCATCTTTTCACTCTTGTTGGCACGGATGGTAGCGCGCAGGGGGTCTTAGTGTGGGAGGAAACCGGAGTTCCCGGAAAGACCCGTGTGGTCAGGCAAGTGACCCCAAGCGTTTTCACGTCTGATGGGGGAATCGAACCCCGGCCGTCTTGCTGAATTAAAGGCCAGTGCGCTATATATATATCCCGACTGCGCCATTCGACCACCCACTCTATTTCACGGTCTTTACTTTGTAACAGTTCAAAATTTCTACCTCTTTCGTGTACCCATTTTCCCGCTAACACTAAGCGTACCGATCCATGCTAATTTCAAATCTAAATTATATTTCGAATAAATAAGGACTTGACTCCATTTTCACACCCTTTACAGTACAAGAACTTGTCTTTGAACAGTTTCATGAGCCGGTGTCGGCGACAGGCGAAGCGTTAATCAATGAATCATTTCTTATGTTACATTTGACGTTTGTAAAAAGAGCGAAAACATAGATTGGAAAAGGTCATTACCAATATCATTTACATGCTATTTACTTTAAAATGTCCTTGTTTTTTTTTTCTTCATATTTCATGGATAACGACCGTGTGATTTTGTTTCCTTTCATCAAAACAAAATTGTGACAAAAAAAGCAAGAGTCACAATCATCGACGAGATTCAAGGGCTATAATCTGGATATACATTCTGTATTTATAGTCCGGATATATACTGTATTTACAGTCCGGATATATACTGTATTTATAATCCGGATATATATCGTATTTATAGTCCGGATATATACTGTATGTATAGTTCGGATGTATACTGTATTTATAGTCTGGATAAATACTGTATTTATAGTCCGGATATATACTGTATTTACAGTCCGGATATATACTGTATTTATAATCCGGATATACATCGTATTTATAGTCCGGATATATACTGTATGTATAGTTCGGATATATACTGCATTTATAGTCTGGATAAATACTGTATTTATAGTCCGGATATATACTGTATTTATAGTCCGGCTATATACTGTATTTATAGTCTGGATATATACTGTATTTATAGTCTGGATAAATACTGTATTTATAGTCCGGATATATACTATTTATAGTCCGGCTATATACTATTTATAGTCCGGATATATATACTGTATTTATAGTCGGGATATATACTGTATTTATAGTCCGGCTATATACTGTATTTATAGTCCGGCTATATACTGTATTTATAGTCTGGATATATACTGTATTTATAGTCCGAGTATATACTGTATTGATAGTCCGGATACACATATTGTATTGATAGTCCGGATACACATATTGTATTTATAGTCTGGATATATACTGTATTTATAATATACTGTATTTATAGTCTGGTAGTCCGGATATATACTGTATTGATAGTCCGGATATACACTGAATTTATAGTCCGGCTATATACTGTATTTATAGTCTGGATATATACTTTATTTATAGTCCGGATATATACTGTATTGATAGTCCGGATATACACTGAATTTATAGTCCGGCTATATACTGTATTTATAGTCTGGATATATACTGTATTTATAGTCCGGATATATACTGTATTTATAGTCCGGATATATATACTGTATTTATAGTCGGGATATATACTGTATTTATAGTCTGGATATATACTGTATTTATAGTCCGGATATATACTGTATTGATAGTCCGGATACACATATTGTATTTATTGTCTGGATATACATGATATCCTGTAATTAGCTCAGGAAGTCACCGCATAAACTCTAACTCAAAGTAGGAGGTGGACTGTCTACTGAACTATCTTTGATATGGGGAGTTTATTATCAGACATGGGCTTATTGCAGGATAAATACCGTTAATGTACATCATATGTAATCCCCCTTAGAGAATAAACCATTGATAAATGAAGATATGTATCGCAAACGGAAAATCACTTCTTCTAAAAATTAAGACAGCTAAATTTAAGATCACTTGTTGCCTCCTATATAGAGTCATGCTATAACGGGAGTAGGAATTACAATAACTATAGGGAAACAGTCTTTAACATCACATTAAACATCATGAATAACACCGTCTACATAGTCTGCGAGGTTTTTATTTACTGTCGAAGTAGATATAACCAAGGCAGACATTTGTTACCTTATAGTGATGCTGACACTGAAGAAGTCCCGACAAGTGAAGAAACAGTTATTTGAACTTTGACCTCCTTTTATGACCTTGTCCTTGGAACTGAACATCCGAAAGATGCCACGCGCGTGCTGGTTGAAGGGATGGGTGGCGTGTGCTCGGTAGAGCTTATTTCGGAATCACCATCGGTATCATTGATGTCAAACCTGGTATGTTTGTATTTAAAGTAAAATTAACAATGGAAGAGCAGGAAGAGAGGCATATATTGCGAGTCATCACTGTGTAAAAAATATTTAGGAAGTTTCAGTATTAATGTAGGAAATTCAATATGCTCCTAATGCAGACATACACCCTCAGTTTTGGACAAAAGCATTTTGGAGAGAAAAAAACAGAAAACATTGGTTGACACATCGACTGGCCTCTACGAAATCCAATGGTTTCGCTGAAGCTATCCCTCCACTTCGACTATAATTAACCTACTGGCAGTAACATACTAGCATGTCCATAAAACTTCACGTCATGCTCCGGAATAGAATTTGTTTTGTGTAAAACAAGTAATATGTACACATCTACGTCCGTTTCTAGTTAATATCCATCATGGAAATTCCACGAGTTTCGCTCACTTACGCAACATAACGCAAGTGAATGTCAGCCCTGGAATTCCGAGGATGGTGGAGGTCCCGAAAATACTAAGGATGTACACCTCGAGCATAATTTGAAACTTATTCTCTCCAAATTACACGTAGTTGGCCATGGAGGGAGTTAGGAATGCTATGACCTAATTATTGACGTCATCGCTATTATGACGTCATAATGGGTGACGTTGGTACCACTGGGCCATGGGAATTTGTTACAGCTATATTTGGACCTAAACTAAGGTGTTGAGAGTAATTTTACACGTTTGGGAGGTTTAGATCGATTTAGTTTAGGTCCAAATATAGCTGTAACAAATGCTCAGGTCCCCGTGGTAGGTACCACTGACTCGCCCTGCATGGACAGATGGTTCTTCTGTTCATTTTGAACAAGTATAAACGATACAAATGCTAACTTTGGATAAATCTTGATTTGGGAAAAATATTTTTTATTTATCTATGAGCTTGGAATAATCCCAAAATGGTAAATATAATGTTGAACTACCATTCATTGGATTTGCCTTTGTCCACTAGGAATAGCTTAAGATGTTTCTGGTGATTTTACTGTGTTAAGTTCAAATAGAACATCAACCACTAGATCAGGGTAAGATATTGTAGACGATTGGAAACTTCATTAGAGAGGTTTTTTTTCAGATAAGTATTTCCATATCTAAATATAGTTACTAGTTCTCAATATGAAATTACTTGTTAAAATCAGATTTATTTCCACCAGTTAGAAGCTCCTAGTGGTTTTGAACGAGTTTTAATGCTTTTACTATGGCAAGGAATAACGTAACGTTTCTGCATATAAGTTTCTGGAGCAGAAACGAGAACTACTAAATAAAGAACGCACTTATTAATTTACATTTATTGTTTGTTTTCTATCAAAACCGGCTTGTCCAATGTTCTGCAATATACGAGATCTCGTTTAGTAGGTAAAACTCGCCTTTTGTGTGCAATTACATTCATGATGCTTATCCCATTGACTAGAGTGTCATGATCGAGCAAAGGGTGTCTATATCTGTTTGGGCTGCGATTGTTTTGACGTAATAATAAGTATGACGCCATCAGGATGACTGACCGAGAACGATCGGTACTGATGCGGCACACAACGCTTCACGCTCCTTGGCTCAGTTATTAACAATAACTGTACATCTCTGACGGATGAGCGTGCTTCGACCTAAACGTGACCAACATTTAAAAATACAAATTAACAGCAGTCTCTGTTTCGAAAAATATCTATAGCCTACCTCACTTGGATTTGCGACGTACTTTTTGTGTTTTCTTTTTTTTCACAACTCAACAAAGATGCCACTTTGAACAATATGCAACAAGACATAGGGCTGCAATTGTATGTCACACATTTAATAGTTAAATAGATACTGTTGATATTTGATAATCGGGGGAAATGGGAACAAAATACAATGTTGGGAGTTTCCAGCCAAGAAAATCCCATCTGGTTACCAGAATGATGCACTACTAGCACGTTCATGAGACAAATGACAAGCAACACGATGAACGCTAAGGTGTTAAAAAATGTCCGAATTGACAACGAAATCGACAAGTCGATTCGGCTACGCTTTAGTCGAATGGACACTTAGGTATTAACGATGTACGAAATAACAATTGATTTGCCAAATAGTTTTGTGCTTTGTATAGTAGCTGTTGATTCATATATGGTGCCCCAAGGGAGGTCGGAAATACGCTAAACATAAGTTCACATGCATTAATGACTTGACACCATAACTGATCTCGTAAGTCTTCTGTACAATCACATTGTAAAACTATGTGGGTATATATATCGTTATACATGTGTCCACATTTATGGCATAATTCAGTTGTTTAGGTCACCTGAGACAAAGTCTCATGTGCCCTATTGCGATCGCCTTTTGTCCGTCGTCGTTCGTCGTCCGTCGTGCGTCCGTAAACAATTTACATTTTCGACTTCTTCCCCAAAACCCCTGAACCAATTTTAATGAAATTTTGCAGGGACCTTTCATGGACAAAGGTCAACAAAAATAGTTGCCGGTTTAGTCCCAAGCCCCTCGGGGCCTGAGGGGCGGGGCCAAAAAGGATCAAATTGACTAAAATTTCAAAAATCTTCTTCTCAAGACCCAGATATGGGAGAATCAAATACTCTTCATATATGGAAGGGTCTTAAGGTTTATGACCCTAGGGTCTCACGTTTACCCCCCGGGGAAGGGGGGGGGGGGGGCAAAATTTATTATGGTTTATAATGGCAAATGATTCTTTGAATATTACATGTTAATAACTTGATTGGAATTATAACCTTGAGTTGACAGTTTGATACTTTGAAAATTTTGAGCCAGCCCTATTCCCAAGGGCTGTAGGGTGGGGCTCAAACGAGTCAATGTGCTAAAATTTCTTCATTTTCCTTGTTTAGAATCAGAGGTGCTAGTTTCAAATACTTTTTAGTCTGAAATCTGTATGCTAGATATTGAATAAGGTGGTTTTATTGTTTTTTGTCACTTTGAATAATATTTCTGTTCATGTTAAAAACAAAATCAACTCTCTGTATAAATATATCAGGTGACCGTTAAGGCCCATGGGCCTCTTGTTCTGAATGTCTTAGAGACACAATCAATTTCATTATACTACGTATGGCTTCTCTGTTTTGAGGAAATTTCATTAACAATTTCCACAATATATGAGGAGCCAAATTATCATGAACAATTATAAATCTGCAGAAATCGCGGTCACCACTCATTCTCTCTTTCCATGCTTTTTCTTCATATAACTGTACATTATGCTTCACGTTTTCTCACCCACTCGTGCGATTTGAAAATGGTATGTGTGTCGATATTGGTGAAATTCTGTCAAGATAAACCTTTTCTGCCTTAACTCTTTTCAGTTCACTCCACGTACGTACGGAAGAAAAAGATGAAATTCAAAGAATTTTTATTTGGGTTACATAAAACATACACCATTATATTTCAGAGCAATAAATACGACAGATAAAACAGAAAGAAGAAATTATTCATCAAAGCTATTATCAAGCCATGAAAGCAAATTCATTTTTTTTTATAAATAAATACATTTGTACATGGATCCTTAATGGTTTCTATATTTTACGACATTACACCGGAAGTGTAACACTTTTCGGTAGCTGTTTTTGCCAACACGTGTTGGAAGTGTGGAAAGACGGATAGATTTAATCACATTTCTGAATACTGCTGGCGTAAATAACGATGGGGAGGAAAAGGGACCCGACTAACTTGGTAAAATCAGGGCCTGGCCGAAAGACAAAGAAGCAGAAGCCACCGCAGATTCCAAATGCTTTAAAAAATGCTAACACAGGTAAGCTGCAGATCACAGGCATCAGCCAAAGTTAGATATCAGTGTGGTCGAAATGTATCATGGTATTATATGTAGTCCTAATTATTGCCTACTGTCAGTTCATAGTCATATATATGTCATCGAATTTCAATCTTCGTTGCCACGATGAGGTATATATCTCTGATGGTTGGAAGGAATGAAATAGGAATTTTGTCAGACAGGGTTGTACAGCTGTTGTAAACAAAATTTCTTTCGATGCATTAATTTAAAACTCATAAAGAACAAAATCCATTACACACGTAGATGAAGTACATGAAAATAAGAAAGTCTACCGCAAACGGAGTGAGCAAATGAATAAATTGATTTTTTTCAATTCAGCCTGCAGATATTGTGCAATGGCTTCTTGCAATTGACTCTTACAATTTCATCCTTTATGATTGAGGGTTACATTTACAGTTACCTAGGTATATGAATGAACAATAGATAATATTTCGGTTCGTAGCATTCACTTGGGCCATGAAAGAGATCATAAGATTTTTTTTTATGAAGTCATATATGCCATATACTAACATATTACATGGGGTTTTTCTTAGCAGTTAAAGATTAGGAGCATAAAATGACATCATTCATTCGAGATAATTAATAAATAATAATATATCTTAGAGATTCACCAAGTTCTTTTTTGAGATCAATGGCATTGTACTGTGTACACACGCTGTGTTGTGCTTTATATTTTCAGAAGATGATGATTCAGAAAAGAAGCTGTCAAGCAGACAGAAAACGCGGTATGTTACTTTTATCATTACATTCAATAGGGCTGTGGATTGTATTTATGTCATACTTTTCATTAAACCATGCAGTTTAAATTTTGTCTTTTTTCGTCCTTGGTAGTTAGGGCAGATTTATCATTACACCGAGTATTAGTGAACAGCATCATAAACATAGTAACTAAATGTGAAGGAGCGAAATTAACACTGGATGAATATGGATTTTACTGGCGGAGGGCGAACGTTTGACTGGGTAAACATTTCCTGGTAAACAGTAGAAGTTTCATTTTCAATAATATTGAAAATCATAAAATGTGAATACCAGCTAAACACATGGTATAAATATATGTTGTATATTTTGGCAACTTTGGTTGTGATTTTATTATATCACAGAGTAAAGAAACGAATACAGAAAAAAGAAGAAAAGATGGAAATAAAGAAAAAGAAGAAAGAAGAAAAATTGCAACAGAAAACGAAAAAAGAAAGCCAGAAGCCTGGAAAGTTTGCGAGGGCTCCTGTCGTCAGCAAGAAAAGGAAGGTGGAAGAAAGTGAGGAAGAAAGTGATGATGATGAGGAGGATGAAGGTAATTAAGTGAAGTTTTAAAAGAGTATTAATGATTATTGTGAAGACTTAGTCCCAGGTAGCTTGGGTAGTATTTGGGAAATACACAGTGCTTAATCTAACATATTTCAAAACAGTTGCACATGTAGTTTGAAATGAAAAATTGTTTGTGATTGCAAGTATTTGTTTTAGTATAAATTTTGGACAATGTATTGTAATCGTAAAATGTTATTTATCATTTAGTTTACAATTAATTCTGTACCTGTGTTTATGAAACCACTCTCATGCTCGAGTCTATATTCTGTGCTCAAACTAACTGCAAGTGTAAGTTGCTGAAATCATATAACAGTGAAAAATAACATTAATAGACATGTATACAAAGGGTATTTACCATTTAATCTCAACAAACATTTTGTATGATTAGAAAATACTGCTTGGATAATTTATAACTGGGAAAAGGAAGTGGACTTGACCTTAAGCTCAGAATCTCAGTTTGAGTATGAGAATGGTTTTATTATATTGGCACTGGACTTCAAATTCTGCTTAGCCATAAATCTGTAAAGTACCCCCAGTTGTCATTAGGTTCTGATATGCTTTGTATCTTTTTTAGAAGACAGCGATGAGGAGGAAACAAAACCTGTCAAAGGGTACTCGGATGAAAACAAGGCATGGTTAAAACCGTCATCTAAGCAACCATTGATGGATTCTGATGAGGTATCTCATTCTTTTACTTCATAAATACTTAAAGGTCAAGGTGCAGTTAGTCGGACCTATTTATCATAAAGAGCTATCACCATGACCATTGTTTTTGTAACCTTAATTTTACAACAGCCTGTTCTTTTATAAATTGGGAAAATATAGCATTATTTATATTGAAATTGAGAATATATTCCTTAGTTTTGGGTCATTATGGGAAAATCAGGCACTTTTTAGCTAGGGGAAACAGCCTGAATTTGTCTGTAAAACTGAGCAAAACAATCACAGATGACAACGATGACTTTTAATTATAGTTAACATTTATGAGATGCAATCAGGCAAAAAAACATATGGAAATTTGTGTGTGTGTTTGATTATTTATATTATACCTTGTAATATAAATTAAAATTCTTTCTGTTTATTAGTCAGATGATGGAGAAAGTGATGGGGTGGCTGGAGATGACTTTGATGATGTGGGATTATCAGATGATGAGGAGGAGGATGAAGATGACAGTGAGGAAAGTGGGGATGAAGATGTAAGTTGAATCAACATAGCATAGGATGTTTGACATCTCAATAAAGGGAGGTTTTCTTAGATGCGAGATAAAATGAACACAGTACAATAATTCAGACCCAAGGCAAAAATGAAAACCACAGATCAAGTTGACTGCTGATAACCCTGAAGTCACTTATCACATTTGAGATCATATGAAATACAATATTTACGAAGCTCTTAAGGTATATAAATAATAACGGGTATTTCTAGGTGCCTCCTTGTTTTGAGTATGGAATCACAGGAGTTTGATTCCTGTACAATTATCAGAAATGGTGAAGGACATGGAAATATTTTAAGAGTATTTATAATCTTAAGGTTATATATTCTGTATAAACCAAACTGTGTTGTGCTCTTTCAAGTGGTATTCACTATTGATAATTTACTTAATTGGATGAAAAAGTAGATATTTTTCTGCAAGATAGTGTCTTCGCATATATGTATTAAAAAATTGGTAAGCGATGTAAGAAAAGAACTGTATCAAATGTATTTATGTAGGATAGAATATCCTGTCCTTGGGTACATAACTTGGGTTCAAAATCCTCAGCAAGTCTTGGTTTTACCCCTTGAGTGGGAAATTTCAATCCAATGAAAAACAAGTGATAGAGTAAAGCCCCCATGCACCCAAATTAAATTAAAAGATATTGATAGGACAATTTCACTGGTAAGTAGTGACTATCTTTATTATACTTTGATATTGTGTCATTTCAGTTATTACCTGTAGAAAAGGAAGCAAAGAAGCTGGAAAAGAAGAGAGAGAAAAACAAGTAAGGAAGGATACGGAAATGATCATGTGATCACCTCTAAATCTGATTGTACTTCAAAATCCCATTAAGAAAGACAATAATTCTTTTTATTCCGTTACCTATCTTTGTTTTGCACAGAAAATTAGCAGAAGCTGAACTCCAGACCAACATCATGGACATGGAGAAGTACACGTTACCCAGTGGCCAGGAGGTGGAAAAGGAAGATATCCTTTGTTTTATAGACAACTACCCGGTATTTAAAAAGATTTTGATGAAAATTTTCTCAGATATCAGAACTTTAATATCCGGAACCAGTTTGGATTTCAGAGTTTTTAAACCAAGATTAGGTTCAGTGTTGCTATAAATAGAAGCTGTTAGTCACCTATCTACTGTCATTTCAGTCAAATTGTCATTTAACACATGTGTTCAGTACTATGACAACTCGGGGCCCTGAGTCTAAAGTCAACGTTATTACAAACAGAATATTATGCTTGGAATCAGGAAACATGTCATGGGTATCCAGTGATTTTTCACGCCTGGATTGACATCCAATTACAGGCTACTTCCCCTAGCAGAAAAGTGGTGTATTTTCGCAAAATAAAGAACAGTCGAGGAATATTTTCCAACTTCAGTGAAAATAATGCTACATTTCCCTAGTTCATGAAGGAACAGCCTATGGGAAAATTTAAGTAGAAAACCCATTGGTATCCATTGTCCAGTTTATTGTATGACTGGGTTGTGTTGATAGACCATTACAAAGTATGAAATCAAACAGTTCTATAACGATCAAGTCACTAATGATATCTGTAATACTAGACTGTTTGACCTTGACCCCTGAGTACCTGCCCAGCCACCAGATATAACAATGGTACAACAGAGGATCAAGGAAGTGATGCATGTTCTGGCAGACTTCAAAGAACGACGCGAGCCTGGAAGGTAGGGAAGTATTCTTACAAACACCACAAGCAGAGAAGAAAACAAAATCAAAATGGTCTCTTGGAATTTGAAACACCACAAGCCTTTAAGATACAGAAATCAAAATAGTCTCTATCACTCATGACATTAAAAACACAACAAGTGTTAAAGATAGGGAAATAAAAAAATATCACAAACCATGAAGGTAGGGAATTAGATTTGTGTTAGAGAATCCAAGATTGACAAAATCTTTAAGGTAGGGAGAAATGAAATTGTCTTTAAAATTTTAAGTTCTCAACAAACTAAGTATGTGTTTATTTCGTTAAGGTACAAGGGTCCAAGTTCTCATTGCTATTGAATTCACAGTAAATTGTCAAACAATGAAATTGGTTTTACATGATGACAGTAGCATTCCAGTCTAAAACACATTCTTAGTTTACCATCTGATGATTACAGGAGTCGCCAGGACTATGTCCGTCAGCTGAGGTCTGACTTCTGTACATACTACAGCTATAACGACTTTCTCATGGAAAAAATTATGAGTCTGTTTCCCCTAGAGGTGAGTAACACAAATAATTTCTTCCATCAGCCATGAGCATGTCTTACAGACATTTTCTAGTTATCCAACATTCACCAAATGTCCTCATCCTGGTTTAACCTTTTTGAAATACTCGGAATTACTATATTTTCTCGAGTTCAAGTTATTCATTGCATATGCAACATCTTAAAGACTGTCCCACTGATAAAAATGTAGGTAATACATTAGGATTATCAGTGTGTTAAATGATATCTTATACAGACACTTACCAGGAAATCGTTACATTTCATCTTTCAGATTCAAGAGTTTCTCGAGGCAAATGAAGTTCCTCGGCCAGTGACAATCAGAACCAATACACTAAAGACTCGCAGGCGAGATCTCGCACAGGTGAGGATCAAATTTAATCTACTCAGCTTAAAATACAGCACAATCTTTTTCCATTTATGTAGAAAAAAACAAATTGGTGCAACATTGAAAAATGTAAAAATATACAGGGGGGATAAAGCCATCGCTCGAAGTGCCCGTCCTTCCGTCTGGTTTTCCTTAGTGCATGTCTGGATGATAACTTGAGAGAAACTGGTCATGCACTTGGTGTGCTGGTTGCCCTAGAGAATACAAAAAAACATGGTCCGCTAGAGTTAAAGGTCACCATTGCTAAAAAAGGATATTGCTTGATTAGTTGTGTTTGGATGATAACTTGAGGATGAATTATCATACTAAGTTCAAACTTGACATATGTATTGCCCAAATGAACGTGAAGAACTCGATTGAATTTTGGCATGGTGCAACAGACGTAAGGTCATTGTGGCTATAAAAAAAGAATTCTGCCTGTCCATATGATAACTTGAGAAAGAGTGATCATACAAAGTTCATGGTTTTGGGCATTATGTGTCAAGAGGTCAAGTTCAGTATTGCTAAAAATGGAATTCTGCTCATCCAGATGATAACTTGAAAACGGATGATTATAAAAATTTCAAACTTGGTGGGTGGGTTGTCAAAACCATAATGATTTTGGTTGTGGTCTGCCAGAAGTCAAGGTCATTGCTGCTAAAAATAAAATTTTGGTTTGTTGTGTTTGTCCTTATAATAACTTGGGAATGAATTCCCATTATGCTCCACCTGTCTTTAGTGTAACGATTGTACAAATTGTATTTCATATGCAGAGAATGAATAGAATGTCCACATAGAAGATTGTATAGATTTGTGCCCTTCTTGAACGTAAATCCATGATGGGTTAATAGCAAATCCTGATCTTAGTCTCTTTGGGGAGGAGGATATGCTGCCCCTGGCGGTTCTGTTGTTTTACATTCTGTTTTGCTCAGTGTTGAATTCTTGTTATTGATTTACAGGCTCTGATCAACAGGGGAGTTAACCTTGATCCCATTGGTAAATGGTCGAAGGTTGGATTGATTGTATTCGACACACAAGTACCACTAGGTAAGGAAACTGTACAGTACTAGATATGATGTATTGTGATAAAACAAATCCATAGGCAATACCTAACATCTATGTTCCTCTAATGTCTTACATTTCACAAGCGCATTGAGCTTATGGATATATCTGCAAATCATTACCCATTATTACTCAGGCTAAGTTCAATGTGCTTCCCTTAAATTTTAACTTAACAACAATGGCAAACAAAATGAGGGCGAGGACAGAATAATGATGTTGATTTACTATGGTGTAACATTTCTCTTTAATATTTGAAATGAGTGATTGAAGATCAAGTCATTAAATAAAACAGGATGGTGTTAAAATTCTGTGAATTCGATTTTCTAAATCATTTCCATTTACACCTCAAATGGACATTAATCTCGACCTCAATAAAACAAGTAGGAAAAAACATATTAAGGGAGGTAAATGCTATTTACAATTAGTAACCATTGTTATGTATATGATCTGCTATGTTTAGGAGCAACACCAGAGTACTTGGCTGGACACTACATCCTTCAGGGGGGATCCAGTTTCCTACCTGTCATGGCTCTTGCCCCACAGGAGAATGAGAGGATACTGGACATGGCCTCAGCTCCAGGGGGAAAGACCACCTACATTGGTAAATTCTTTAATACTATGTGTGAAAATAAATTAAAAGATTTATGTGAGTATGTCACTCAGTGACAAATATGAATCTAGATAATTTGCTTGTATTTTGTGACAGTATGCATTAATACTGGGATTTTTTTATGAAACATTATAAAAAATCTATGTAGGATGCAAATTTACTTGAAAATTCCGAATGAAGTTGAGGTTTTCTAATACAAATATATTTCGAGGAACATCACTACCTGAACGTTGTTTGTCAAGGGAACCTGAAATATGTTCATTCTTGACATTTTCAGGGTATCTTTCACAATTTTAAAAGTTAAAAATATTTTCACTCTCTTCAAGATCTCTTAATTTCAGTAACTAATGCCTGCTTCCTCCCTGTTTAGAAGAAAAAACTTTGGAAGTAAATTTCTCACAAAACTAATAAACATGTATTTATAAAATCATTTAAACGTTTGTACAGCTGCCCTAATGAAGAATACTGGGACAATATTTGCCAATGATGCCAATGCAGACCGGGCGAAGGCCATCGTGGGAAACACTCACAGAATGGGAATCACCAACACTATTGTGTGTCATCACGATGGACGGGTGTTCCCTAAGGTATCTGTCTAATAACTTGTATACCAAGATATCCTCACTGAGGTTTAACTTTCACTTTCTGTAAAACTGGCAGATTTATGATGACAGGGAATACCTTAGTATTTATATTTAGGACACAGCATTCCATATAAGTGATCACATGCAAAATGCAAAATTAACACTGGGAGGACATATATAAATTTTACCGGTGAAGAGTAAAAGTTGGACTGGGCCAAAGTCTCCAGGTATACAGAGTTTTATGGTAACAATGATGTCGATGATAACAATTTGATGTCAATGTTTACTATCAAAAGTCAATGGTAAACGTTAGTTGTCCATTATTGTAACCATCATATCTTACTAGTGACAGCCATGGCAATAGTCACTTGTCAATGGTTACAATCAACCGCTAATGAATTAACTGATGGTCGTCAATGGTAACAATCAGTTGTCATAAGTCAACAGTCAATTTCGTAACATTGTGTGGCCAATGGTAATGGTCAAGAGCCAATTTGATTTGCAAAATTGAATATATATACCGGCTAGGGGTGTCACGGTTAAGGAATTTTTTGGTTCGGTTCGGTTATCATTTTTATTGTCAGTTTTCGGTTATTTTGGTTCAGGCAACTTTGTAATTATGTATTTCATATACACAATCACAAGTAGAATACGTAAACAAACTTCATTATGTACACACTTAAAACAGTAATATACAATTGTCTACTAATCCTCATCTGAGGGTATTGAGTATAAAGATACTAACACGAAGAATCTGTCACTTGTATTAGGTATTTCGATGTCCACAACTGTCCCATCTTAAGTTGACTTATTGAAACATCTATGTAATATATATTTCCTTCATTATATCATGCAAATATCTTGGTCTCCATTGCACAATCTATGTACTTACTGGACAATCATGTTCTTTCCTTTATTATATCATGGCCTGCAAACATTTAAGTCTCCATTTTTACTAAGTTGCCAGTGCTAACCTACCTCTTGTTTATTATGCATGAATGCATTTTGCTCATGCACCTTACTTTTTGACAATCTGTCTAGAATCATAAAATAATAAAAACAATATTAAATTGGTGTACTTTACGGGATCTAACTCATCAATGTCCGCCCATATCGTACATAATATACATATATATATACCGCTACGAAATCGGGTTAAAGTCTTGTGTAAAACTTTTTCAAGGCAAAGGCCTCGTGTTGTCATGTTTTCTGCACTGGGCCCATGTGTTGAATCCAGTTAGTTCGTAGCTGCTGATTTCCAAGTTATATAAGATATAAAGGCTGACATTGATTTGTTTAATTTGTGTTTATACATATATCCAGTGTTCAGTTACCGTCTTGTGCACCAGTCCGCTTGTGACGAGAAAATCCAAGTCGAAGCTGCCACTCAAACAATCCGAAAGAACACAGTCGTACTTATTATTGCGGGTGCATGACTATGGAGTCATGGATATGTATCGATCGGTATATGACACAAATAATACACGCCTTTCTGCTACCAAACAACTACGACCCACTAATACAGAACCGAACCGAAATACGGAAATTATGAACCGAGCCGTGGTCTTTTGAACCGCGGTTAACCGCTATTTTGGTTAACCGTGACACCCCTAATTCCCGGTATATATATATATATAAGTCAATGGTACTATTTGATGGTCAGTTGTAATGTTCAACGTGTCGATGGCTTTTGGCAGCATTTAAACACAGGTGGCCTAGTAGGTATGGGTTTGACTAGCTTTGTTTGGGCAATATTTGTCAGACCTCTACACATGCCATAAAATAAATAGATATTGTTCATCTCAGGGCAGCTCTTGTCAATTTGTGTTGTAATATAACATGTTTTCACTAGTTGCAGGTAATATAACAGTTTCAGTAATGTATTGCATCACATTCACTATTCATCATAGGATAAACCCAGGCCCAGATTTATAATTTTTAAAGGACTATTGTGTGATTGGGGCCAAAAAAATACATATCTTCTAACAGACCATATACACCTTGATGTTAAACACCTTATGATAAAATGTGTCTCTAACAAGCTTTTATACAATATCAAGTCAACTTCAAAATATCAGGTTTGGGAATTGGGCAACAGGCTAAGCTTATACAAGTCGTCTCCCTTGTAAATAATGTTTTGTGTAGGTGCCCACTGGTGCTTGAGGAAACAATTTACTAAGTGTTTGACATTTGTCACCTAATTGCCTAACCAACATGCAGAAATAAGGAGAGTTTTCTGTTCTGTTGTAGATTATGAAGGGGTTTGACAGGGTTCTACTGGACGCACCCTGCAGTGGAACAGGGGTCATTTCCAAGGATGAGGAGGTCAAGATGAACAAGGTAATAAAGGACTTCTGGTTGTTAGAAGATCACATGATTAAATCTGTATATCATCTTATAAGCTCATAATTACCAGCATAATGTGTGTCCAATTTTTCTGCAAATAATTTTAGCTCATAATGCCCAAAGAGCCATTTAAGCCTAACCTAGCTATAACACAGTATCGATTGTGTGTTGTCTGTTTGTCCATCAACTGTCTGTTTGTCAAAATCTCCTTGAAAACCCTACTTGTCCACAACAATCGAGTGGATTTTAACTGAATTTGGTCTAGGGCATAATTTGACTTAGGGGATGAAAATCTGTGTAAACAGAGGATGCGATACCCTATATGGGGAAAAGAAGACAAGTGAATGCTGTTATGTGGAGGGTGTGACCTCCTCCTTTCCCAACCAAATTTTCTATGAAATATCTTTGGTACTCTGGAGTTAAATGTTATAACAAGGTGCAGAAAGTCTAGAAGCCAAAAGGGAAAATGTGTGCGATGTTGCTTTTAATGAGAATATTTTGCCATGGTTTCTAAAGTATCTAGATGAGCAATTGCTGTCATCTCAATATTGAAGATAACAATATAACTTAAGGAGCTAAGCTACTGTACTAACAATATAACTTAAGTTATATTGTTAGTACAGTAGCTTAGCTACGTCCGTGATATTGTTAGTACAGCAGCTTAGCTCCTTGAGTTATATTGTTAGTACAGTAGCTTAGCTCCGTAAGTTGTATTGTTAGTACAGTAGCTTAGCTCCTTAAGTTATATTGTTAGTACAGTAGCTTAGCTCCGAAGTTATATTGTTAGTACAGTAGCTTAGCTCCGAAGTTATATTGTTAGTACAGTAGCTTAGCTCCTTAAGTTATATTGTTAGTACAGTAGCTAAGCTGCTGTACTAACAATATCACTGATGTAGCTAAGCTACTGTACTAACAATATAACTCAAGGAGCTAAGCTGCTGTACTAACAATATCACGGACGTAGCTAAGCTACTGTACTAACAATATAAATTAAGGAGCTAAGCTACTGTACTAACAATATACCTTACGGAGCTAAGCTACTGTACTAACAATATAATTTAAGGAGCTAAGCTACTGTACTAACAATATACCTTAAGGAGCTAAGCTACTGTACTAACAATATAACTTCGGAGCTAAGCTACTGTACTAACAATATAACTTAAGGAGCTAAGCTGCTGTACTAACAATATCACTGACGTAGCTAAGCTACTGTACTAACAATATAACTTAAGGAGCTAAGCTACTGTACTAACAATATAACTTAAGGAGCTAAGCTACTGTACTAACAATATAACTTAAGGAGCTAAGCTACTGTACTAACAATATAACTTAAGGAGCTAAGCTACTGTACTAACAATATAACTTAAGGAGCTAAGCTACTGTACTAACAATATAACTTAAGGAGCTAAGCTACTGTACTAACAATATAACTTAAGGAGCTAAGCTACTGTACTAACAATATAACTTAAGGAGCTAAGCTACTGTACTAACAATATAACTTAAGGAGCTAAGCTACTGTACTAACAATATAACTTAAGGAGCTAAGCTACTGTACTAACAATATAACTTAAGGAGCTAAGCTACTGTACTAACAATATAACTTAAGGAGCTAAGCTACTGTACTAACAATATAACTTAAGGAGCTAAGCTACTGTACTAACAATATAACTTAAGGAGCTAAGCTACTGTACTAACAATATAACTTAAGGAGCTAAGCTACTGTACTAACAATATAACTTAAGGAGCTAAGCTACTGTACTAACAATATAACTTAAGGAGCTAAGCTACTGTACTAACAATATAACTTAAGGAGCTAAGCTACTGTACTAACAATATAACTTAAGGAGCTAAGCTACTGTACTAACAATATAACTTAAGGAGCTAAGCTACTGTACTAACAATATAACTTAAGGAGCTAAGCTACTGTACTAACAATATAACTTAAGGAGCTAAGCTACTGTACTAACAATATAACTTAAGGAGCTAAGCTACTGTACTAACAATATAACTTAAGGAGCTAAGCTACTGTACTAACAATATAACTTAAGGAGCTAAGCTACTGTACTAACAATATAACTTAAGGAGCTAAGCTACTGTACTAACAATATAACTTAAGGAGCTAAGCTACTGTACTAACAATATAACTTAAGGAGCTAAGCTACTGTACTAACAATATAACTTAAGGAGCTAAGCTACTGTACTAACAATATAACTTAAGGAGCTAAGCTACTGTACTAACAATATAACTTAAGGAGCTAAGCTACTGTACTAACAATATAACTTAAGGAGCTAAGCTACTGTACTAACAATATAACTTAAGGAGCTAAGCTACTGTACTAACAATATAACTTAAGGAGCTAAGCTACTGTACTAACAATATAACTTAAGGAGCTAAGCTACTGTACTAACAATATAACTTAAGGAGCTAAGCTACTGTACTAACAATATAACTTAAGGAGCTAAGCTACTGTACTAACAATATAACTTAAGGAGCTAAGCTACTGTACTAACAATATAACTTAAGGAGCTAAGCTACTGTACTAACAATATAACTTAAGGAGCTAAGCTACTGTACTAACAATATAACTTAAGGAGCTAAGCTACTGTACTAACAATATAACTTAAGGAGCTAAGCTACTGTACTAACAATATAACTTAAGGAGCTAAGCTACTGTACTAACAATATAACTTAAGGAGCTAAGCTACTGTACTAACAATATAACTTAAGGAGCTAAGCTACTGTACTAACAATATAACTTAAGGAGCTAAGCTACTGTACTAACAATATAACTTAAGGAGCTAAGCTACTGTACTAACAATATAACTTAAGGAGCTAAGCTACTGTACTAACAATATAACTTAAGGAGCTAAGCTACTGTACTAACAATATAACTTAAGGAGCTAAGCTACTGTACTAACAATATAACTTAAGGAGCTAAGCTACTGTACTAACAATATAACTTAAGGAGCTAAGCTACTGTACTAACAATATAACTTAAGGAGCTAAGCTACTGTACTAACAATATAACTTAAGGAGCTAAGCTACTGTACTAACAATATAACTTAAGGAGCTAAGCTACTGTACTAACAATATAACTTAAGGAGCTAAGCTACTGTACTCACAATATAACTTACGGAGCTAAGCTACTTTACTAACAATATAACTTAAGGAGCTAAGCTACTGTACTAACAATATAACTTAAGGAGCTAAGCTACTGTACTAACAATATAACTTACGGAGCTAAGCTACTGTACTAACAATATAACTTAAAGAGCTAAGCTACTGTACTAACAATATAACTTAAGGAGCTAAGCTACTGTAATGTAACATCTTATATCTTCATTCAAAAAAGAGTTCGACAATGAGAAACTTTTGGTATATTTGGACTTGATCAATAAATTGATAACTATTTTATAAACTACAGAATGCATGCATTGATAAAACTTGTGTTTTGAATGAAGTACTTATTAATATTTAGTTGAGATGACCTGAATAGCTCGTCTGGATACTTCAGTAATCATGGCAAAATATCTCATTGGAAAACTACTAACACAATATATAGGTAAACTGTGTAATGAAGTATACATCCCCAATTGTCATCGTCTCTGATCATGATATATTTCCTCCCCAGGATGAGAGGGATATCCTGCGCTGTGCACATCTACAGAAGGAACTGTTGCTGTCCGCCATTGACTGCTGTGATGCAAAATCAAAGACAGGAGGATACATTGTTTACTCTACATGTTCTGTATTGGTACGTCAAATAACATCGAAAATACCCACAGATATGTTTAACATCTGGTCAGTTCGAACAAAATTGAATTAATATTGTCAATCCTGTTCGAATTATGGGAAATTATGGTAGCTAAAATAATAAGTATATTTCTAAACATTTTCTTCAGGTTGGTAAGTATTTATTATGAAAAGATTTATGTAGCACAACCAAAAAGTGTTTATATGTGACGTTTCGATGACTAGTACGGTATGTACTCTGTCACCTTCATCAGACAAATGACCAGTGAAGCGAATGTACTAAAATCTGTAAAATATGTACGAATTGTCCACAAATTGATGTCGATTAGGCTACACTGTAAGCGTATATACAATTAGTTGTTATATATGTACTGAAATGACTTGATTCATCTACACTTTGTTTAATACTTGGTCATAGATGTGCGAGAGTCTTGGAGCCACCTTATCTCGATTCAGAACTAGCCCACTGCAGCGCTAAGGAAGCCATCTAATTCCCTTGATAAGTTATAATTGTAAAAATAACTGGAAAAACATACATATGATACTCAAATCTGAATTAAGTTTCAGTTACTTTTCAGGAAACAATTGTTAATATCAAGCTCTTCATTAATTTTTTCTCATTTACAGTCAGAAGAGAACGAGGGGGTGATTGAATATGCATTGAAAAAACGAAATGTAAAGTTAGTCCCGACGGGCCTCGACTTCGGCAGAGAAGGATTTGTAAAGTAAGGTTTTTTTAATTAACTTTCTGTGCAGTATCAGAAATCATTAGCTGATATCACATTTATTTTCTCTCAGAAATATGCACTATTTGTATGTTTTACTGTTGATTGATCCATTAATGAAGAGCCTGGTGCACAGGTGTTGATTTAACTTGGTTCAGCATGGAGTCCTCTCCAGCAAATGGCAGAAACCACACAAAAAATCCACAAGGACCTAAAAGTTTGTTACAGCTATATTTGGACCTTAGCTAAGGTGTTCTGAGTAATTTTACATGTTTTAGGGGTTTAGATTGACTTTCGGTAAAATGACACCCCCAATGATCATACATACGGTGAAGGGAGGAAAGCTCTCGATGTCGAAATGTTGACCCAGCCTAACTTTTTTTCAAAGATAGAAATGTTGTTTTTAATGCAAGAAAGTTAGGTGGGCTCGACATTTCAACATCGAGAGCTTTCCTCCCTTCATGGTATATATGATCATTGGGGGTGTCATTTTACCGAAAGTCAATCTAAACCTCTAAAACATGTAAAATTACTCTGAACACCTTAGTTTAGGTCCAAATATAGCTGTTACAAATTCTCAGGTCCCTGTGGAAAAATCGAGTGAAGTCAACGTCTTGTGGTTCATTTTGTGTATCTACACGTACTTACCCTTACGTCTGTCTTGGAGGTAGTCTGGTGGTACGATGGGTTCGAGTATGTCACGGCACTGTGTTGTATCTTTGAAAAAGATACTTTAATCTGCTTGTTCCAGTCTACTCAGCAGTAGTTGAGTATGTGTTAGGGCAGTGCTGGAATTGTTGATACTAGCTGTGAGCGCTGAAATTGGCAGCACCAGCTGTATGCTCCCCAGGGAGTTGAGAAAGATATATGCTGGTTGCATGGGCCCTATAATCATGAATAATAATTTGTGATACGCTTTGAGACGACCTATGAACTAGGTTGTGATAAAGCGGTATATAAGAACCTTGAGTTGTTATAATTATTATGTATATTTTTATACTAAGAGTGAAAACATTATAATTGAGGTTCAGTTAATAGATCTTTGACCCGCTGTATGATGGTACAAGTTGACTTATGTGTGGCTCCCTACACTTGTCAGTTTTAAAAGGATGATACCAGCCTATTTTCTGTATCATTGTTTTGTTAACAGTTTCCAGCAGAACAGATACCATCCCCATATGAAGCTGACAAGGAGATTCTACCCACACACGCACAACATGGACGGATTCTTTGTGGCAAAACTTAAGAAATTTTCAAACAAAATTCCCGGTACAGGTGAGTCATGTGATACATAATACTGCAATCAGTATATTTTTGTATAGTGTCGGAGGAGATTTATATAAAAAAATCATTTAGTTCATATATTTTTTCGCCTTAATATTTTTCATCTATCTTCGCTGTAATTACAATTTTTGCCAAATCTTTAGATTTAATTTTTGGTTTAATTATGGAATCTTAGTACAAGTACTAGGATGTTTTTAGCATGAAGAAACCCATCATTGATGCAGCAGAGTCGAAACATGAAAAACAAATTGCCTGTTTCAAAATAATAATTCAATTAAAATGAGATTTTGACAAGTATCTGAAAATGTATTCCTGTTTCTTGTTGTTAAATAATTATTTTGAATCCCTATATATGTAACTTTAGTTTTCATTTTTTTTTTTAACCTTTTCTAGATAAATGTTTGCGTTTTGTGAAAGTTTATGAAACTTTGAACACCTGAGTTCTGTAAACATGACAACCCCGACATAAAACAGAGGATGAAATTAGGTTTTAATAGTAAATTTTCTGTTATTATGTATTACAGGTAATACTTCAGCTGACGGTGAAGCCGAGGATGAAAGTTCAGAGGTCACTGATAAAAAAAGTTCAGAGAAGAATACAAAACAAACAAAAAATGTGAAAAACTCTACAGACAGTGACAGTGATGATGAGGAAGAGAAGGGGAAATCAAGTAAAAAGGACAAATCGAAAAATAAGTGGTTAGAGAAAAAGTCAAACAAGAAGAAGTTTAAACCTGGACAATTCAAGAAATTCAAATCTGCTGAAAAGTCAAAGAAGTGAAATAACAATATTAGTGCAATGGAATATGTAATGCTTGGAAATGGATTCGATGAAAAAATGGTGTGAAATTTCATGTTGTATCTCTCTGTTTCACAGAAATGTTTATTACGCCCGTGACATAGAACTAGATCAGAAATTATGAAATGTTTATTACGCCTGTGACATAGAACGAGATCAGAAATTATGAAATGTTTATTACACCTGTGACATAGAACTAGATCAGAAAGTATGAAATGTTTATTACGCCTGTGACATAGAACTAGATCAGAAATTATGAAATGTTTCATTTACATTATAATCAACATAAGCATGCAAACTGAAGTCTAAATTATGAATTTTAGACCATTATTATTAATATTCATTTGAAATTCATTGTTGAAATATTAAAAAAAATTCGGGAAAATCTGTGTTCATGTCAAATTCTGTATTTTTAGAAGATGTAAGCAGTATTTATTGGCAGTGGTTGTGAATGTGTACAGTGACCTCGAAGTTGCTGGTATTGTATACAATTGAGATTTAAACAATACCACACAGATCTGTAGAATAAATGTACGTATACACTAAAGCTTTGTTATACTGCAATCATATTTTCCATCAAAAAGTTTATGCAGTAATTGAAAAATCACTTTCGTTATAAATTGAGGGAGACGTACTGTAAAAGTGGAAATTTTTGTGGTGTGGAAATGTTTGAATTTTTCGCATCAAGTAAATTACCACAAAAATATCCACACCCGAAGTTTTTTAAAGATAACATACATTATAGATATTTCAGAACTATTGCCAAAATATTTCCACATTGTGATAGGCTTAAAGGGTCATAATGCAAATATTTCCACATCGTGATAGGCTTAAAGGGTCATAATGCCAACATTTCCACATCGTGATAGGCTTAAAGGGTCATAATGCAAATATTTCCACATCGTGATAGGCTTAAGGGGTCATAATGCAAACATTTCCACATTGTGATAGTCTTAAAGGGTCATAATGCAAATATTCCCACATCCTGATAGGCTCAAAGGGTCATAATGCCAACATTTCCACATCGTGATAGGCTTAAGGGGTCATGATGTCATGATGCAAATATTTCCACATCGTGATAGGCTTAAAGGGTCATAATGCCAACATTTCCACATTGTGATAGGCTTAAGGGGTCATAATGCCAACATTTCCACATTGTGATAGGCTTAAAGGGTCATAATGCCAACATTTCTACATCGTGATAGGCTTAAAGGGTCATAATGCCAACATTTCCACATCGTGTTAGGCTTAAAGTGTCATAATGCCAACATTTCCACATCGTGTTAGGCTTAAAGGGTCATAATGCCAACATTTCCACATCGTGATAGGCTTAAAGGGTCATAATGCCAACATTTTCACTTTTACGTATTATCCCCTTGCAATGAAAGTTTGAGGGGATATAGGATTCAGCCCATATGTACGTTTCTGGTTACTGCATTAAAGGTCACTTTCACAGTGTGAATGTGAGGGGATTTGTATCACTTGTGATGCCTTGTTCACGACATGTTTCTAATAAAGGCAAAAAAGGACCTTCAAATATGTTGGCAGCAAGTGAGGTTGCAAATGAAACCAGGGGCATTATGTTACGCAAGGTTTATTGTATTTGGTGTTGTATTCACCTGGCCAAAAAGTCCAGTTAGTTTGTGTCCTAGCAGTGTCTGTCCTAAACTTTTCATTAAAACACTACTAGTCCAATATGGCTAAAGAACGTGTGCAACTAAATCAGCCAGTCAGCAGGTGTTTCATTTGTTTGTAGTTCCTATCTAAACTTACTTCCAGTAAAATCCTCATCCTTTGAGGAAAGCCCAATATGGAAAATTGGGCTATATCTTCAAAAGATTGTAAAAGGCCTAAACAGATTTTCCTTTATTCAATGAGTGCAAGTGTTTTGAGGGTAAAACCAGAAGCACAGAATTAGTTAAGGCCCAAGTGTAATAAAGGAGCAGGGCTTACTGCCTGCCAAAGACGTGACCATTATATTTAATTAACTACCCATTCTTATAAGTAACTAGAATTCTAATTGCAAGTCCAGGGGAGTGGTCAGCATGTTCACTGCCTGTCCTGAGAAGTGTCCAGAATGTAGACTGCCCATTCTTTGAAGTGACTACCACAATGCAGATGTTTATTAAGAATATTATGTTTTAAGAAATGTTTGCTAACATGAAACTATGACAAAAAAACAGATCTGCATTGTAATATTTTAATGTCCATTTGTACAAGTTCATCACAATTTCTTTTCTTTGGTACTTTTCTTTAAGGTCATATGCAGTTTACCAACCAAACATTTATTTATCTATATAGCTCGAATACACCAATAGGATACCGGTAGATCTACTGGTGGAAGGACTAATAATCACTCGAGGATCCCTCGATTCATGTTATAAAGATGCTTGTTTTTAACTGTACCTCATTAAGTTAGGATTTATGCTACCTGTCCTCTGTTCCCTGTATAGCCTTTCTGACAGTTCTACCCAATATAATATATGGATTTGGGCTCGGATGGTATATATATGGTACAGAACACTGAATTATTGGTACTGTAGAAACAAGTGAAATGTATGTTAATCTTAATGTCTGCCTGCAACGGGGAGTGTAATCTACGATCAGACCAACAGTACACAAAATATGTCGGTACAGTGGCTCGACCCTGTGTTAACTACACTCAATATTGTCACACACGACAGCTCATCACCTTCGGGCGAGACGACCTGCTCACCAAGCATACAGAGAAATCGGCTCGGCCACTCTACAAGTACATGTTCACAACACTACCATTGAAGAAATTCTGTAAGTATTTAAAAGCCGTTAAGAATAATGGGAGACAACTCCAACACAAAAACAGCATAGGAGTAAGATACCACATGATGTATATATATACCTTAGTTGTTTACTGTAGAATGTGATAGACGTACACACATTACCGACCACATTCAATTTATGTTGCAGATTTTTCAAATACACATGACCCACACATGTTTACACTGAGTGGAAACAAAAAATTAATAATACTTAACAAATCCAAAATAGAAAAAAACCCATTTGATTTTAATTGCACAAATTTTTAATGAAAAGGGAGCAAACATTTATTTTTACAATATAGTTGTTGTGCATACAAATATTTTCAACCCACTATATTATCTTTGGGTCAATCAAAACATCGTATTCACTATATAAACCTTATAAATTTTCTCAAAATCTTGGTATGAATTTGAATTTTTCAAAATCTTCATATTTATTGAGAGTTAATGTGAAGAAGTTTAAAAAACAAAGAAATAAATAATATGTAATTGATACAAATGTAACACAATAATCTTGGATCACATACATAGCAGAATAATCAACCATTAATTTCTTTTCCAAACACTAAAATACATGTACCTTGTTCACACGACATCTTACATACATTTAAACATGAAATCCTGAGTTATATTGGTAAGACAGTTTATAAGCCTATGATAACATTTTTAAATACACTGTACAAAGAAAACCATTAGGACAACTTCAATGTGTTTTTTAATGTGTCGTAGCAAACAGCAGAATTTATTGCTCTGTCTAATCACTGATCTCTAATTCTCATTGAAAGTGAAACCTCTGTGACAAATTTGTCAATTTTTTATCATAGGAGGAATTGAAATGGCCCTGACCTTAAGATTGCTTAGGACATATATAGGAGAAATTGAAATGGCCCTGACCTTAAGATTACTTAGGACATATATAGGAGAAAATGAAATGGCCCTGACCTTAAGATTGCTTAGGACATATATAGGCAGGGTTCATGTTTAATGTGAAAATACTGGTTTAAATTATCAGTAAACAAAAAACTATACTTCTAATCTTAAGTTGAATATACAATCTGACCATTTGTAAACATTCCAGAACCTCGTACTGAACATAGCATGAAGACTGAAGATATTCTAATGACCTCGTCTATTCAGGGTCCATGGCAACTACCAGTACTTGTCATTGTAGCTGGTAAGCCTGCTGATATGGGTAGGGTGAAAATACCATCCAGAGAACAACTATCATAATTCTACAGAAAAAAACCATGTCTGATAATGGATTTTACATAATTAATCATAGTTGGGGAGTTGGGAGGCACCAAATCTTAATGTATTATGGGTGGTAGGATTAAAACTTTAATGTACAGATATTCAGTACAATCGGAGCAGCCAATACAACCCCCCTCTCCTTACAATATTTAACAGTAAAATATTGTCTATCTTTCCTTTCATTTAATCACATTTGTGATGTTTTAGGTGGAGGGGCCACTGAAAATGTCTGCCACCCGTCCCCTATGGCTAATTCTGGAACAGCCCATGCCTGGCCCTAAGACATACCTGAAACAATATCTCTTTATAACCTGCATCCATTTTAACAATTACTTGTCTAAGATTTAGTTTTTTGAAAAAAATATCCAAGTTGATCCTAAGTGTATATGACATCCAGTGGTCCTATGAAGACTTGGTCAGCCTGAGGGAAGTGGCATGTCCGAAACCAGCAGTGTCCAGCAGTGTCTAGCAGTGTCCAGCATTTCTCATATGGAGTTATGTCAGTAACTAGCTCTAACACCAATCATCAATTTCGTAAAACCTGTAAATTAGAAATGATCACACAAACTTAATTTATATACCAACCTCATTTCATGTTTCATCAGTGCTTGGGCTGATATTAAACCAAAAGTTCATAAAACATTCATCCCAGGTGAAATACAATCTTCAATTGAAGTTGTGTTTAAAAATTGAAATAAAAGCAATTACCAGGTACATTGTTGAATATCAAGAATATGCAATAACAGGGAAATACTTTAACACCTGACTTCTATTTCATTCTTAATACATTGTAGTGACCAGCAGACTTGGCCTTATTCACAGAGATATGGTTGTTCACTACAAATTGTTCCCACTTTAGGATTCCTGAACCATTGTCAAAAACTGTAACTCAGTATTGTATCTGGGTTTTTTCGCCATGACTATGGCTTTGATAAATGATTTCTGAAACGAAAGCATACCTTGCGGGACTTTCATGAGAAATAACAGATATGAAATAGACACAATATAAATCCACAATAGTATTCTGAGGGTAAAATCTCAACAGGGCCAGACCGGGATTCTAACCTTGGACATACGAGTGTGGTATACTATCACTCTAACCAATTGTGCAACCTGGACAAAGTGACCTGGCTGTACTTAAATCCAAGCAGAAATTAAAGGGAGGTTACTGTATATAGGACAAACCACACTGCAGTGGGATAAAGTTACTTAAATGAAAACGAAGGAAAGTAAAATCTACCAAATTCAAAGACTAATCAAAGTGGAAAATATAGGTCCCAGTGACCTACATAAGACATGTTGCTATAATACACAAGACTCATGGAGTTTGATGAAGCTCGTCAATTTGAAACCAAGATAGTAACAGTGACCTACATTGTATGCATTGGTGTAGTACTCCTCAACATGTATATATACACATACTGTATCAAATTTAACGACGGTTGAACTTCTATTATTTGGGAAATGGGAGTTAAAAGCAAAGTATTACTAATATGAAGTATAAACTGATGGAAAAGACAAATATTTGGTACCCCCCCCCCAGTTCATTATGTTTGAGGGTGTATGTGTGTGTCATAATTTGAGTGTTACCTTGCGTGCAAACTCTGGCAGTGTGAATGCTCCTCTGTGAACTTCAGCGTTGTAATATCTCAGCTTCAATCGTATTTGCTCTTCCTCTGTGAATTTTCTCAGTGGTTCAGAAAATGATGTGTCCTATGTAAAACAAACACATTACACTTTTTTATAAATCTACAGTTCTCCTAGACTTTGATAACAGCATCGTACCTTGTCATATCTACAGTTCTCCTAGACTGTGTAAACAGCTTCGTACCTTGTCATATCTACAGTTCTCCTAGACTGTGATAACAGCATCGTACCTTGACATATCTACAGTTCTCCTAGACTGTGATAACAGCATGGTACCTTGTCATATCTACAGTTCTCCTAGACTGTGATAACAGCTTCGTTCCTTGTCATATCTACAGTTCTCCTAGACTGTGATAACAGCATCGTACCTTGTCATCCACTATATCATCATACCCTGAACCTAGTACCTTAATACCCAATGAAATAAGTTTGAGCCAAAATTGAAATACACAATCAAATTTGTTAACATCCCTTTTGGTACGTTTGGTCATTTTCTTTTTCTGAATTACATAATTTTGAATCTTGTGCTTCTTTTGGGCTGTTTTTTTTTACCCTTTATGAGAAAGTTAAGTCATTTTAGTAACATGCTGACATATAGGTATCTGTGGAATCCAGTGACTGAAGAAAAAGTCCAGCTGATCGGTGAAATACTTACAGGATTAAGACTACAAATGATGAAGCCGATCTGACCACTGGGATACGTGGGGATGGTGGTGTAGGCGTAGTCCACTACTGGGTACAGACTTTGACAGAAGTCCTGCATACACTTGATGAGGTCAAGATGTAACCACAGACACTCGCCTATTAAAGACAGGAATTTTAAAGATATGAAATGAACAACTTCGAGAAGTAGGGAGTATAACAGGATACAATTTATACATATATATATATCCCACCACTGTCCATAATGTAGACAAAATACCATATCTGATGTAATAATGATGGTAATACAATAATACCTGGAAAGTATTTTGAGGGGTTAAGTCGATGGTTATATCTGGAAGGGGTTTCAGGGGGCTCAAATTGATGGTTATATCTGGTAAGGGGTTTCAGGGGGCTCAGATTGATGGTTATTTCTGGTAAGTGTCTTGAAGGGTTCAGGTTAATGGCAATACCTGGTACCAGTAAGTGTTTTGAGGGATTCAATTTAATGATAGTACCTGGTACATGTTTTGGGTGGTTCAAGGTGATAGTAACAGGTGATATGAGCGATTCGATTCAGATGAAAAGTTTGTGACTTACCTTGACAACACAATATTCCAGTTTGATTTAATGCTTTCTTCATCAATTCATAATATGACTTTTCAAATAAACTTGAAGCGGGACCTGGAAAATAATTGTGATAACACTTAAAGAAAATTTGCATAACACGAAAGCTTATGTACTGCAAATTAAACACAACATATCATGCCCATCAATATTGTTAACTTCTGAAACACCTTTTTTAAAACTTCACTTAAGCACTTGTCTTTTTCAATGTAGAGTCTTAAAAAATCTATATGTTACATATAGCTAGATCAAAATAAAATTACACAAGAAATTTACTGTATTCGACAATATTATGCAAAAAAACCCAAAATATTTTGAAAATATTATAGTAATTTAATTCATAGAAATATGTCATTTTTTTCATTAAAAAGAAAGGAATGTATCCTCAGTATGTACAATGTGTATAAAATAAAAATGAAGAAAAGTAGAATGTACAAGACAGCTTTTTATACTGTACCTATCAATATTACTGGTATGTGGTTTTTAAAAATAAAAGAATGAAATATAAAATTAACCAAAAAAAAACAGTCATTCCAGTATAATACTATACCTATCGGATCAGATGAATCGGTGATAATAACATCAAACTCCCCTTGGTGCTTCTTCATGTACTCAAACCCATCACCTATATGTAGCTTCAATTTGGGGCTATCAAACCCACAGGCCATCTTTGGCAAAAACTTTTTGGAGACTTCTATAACTTTCTGTAACAAAAACAAAACATTAGTTTACATGTCCCTTTTATAACAACGAGGACAAAGGAGGTCAATTAAAGGAATTTACATTTTGCTGTACAGTACAATACATCAATGTCCACCTAGTAAAGGAAACTATGTAGCAAATCAAATGTTGTAGCAATTCCTGCAAAAATCTCCTTGGAAATGGTGCAGAATATCTGCATCATTTATATATAATAAGGAGGCAACATATGTAATGTTTCTGTTGGTATTGATAATAAAGCCAGCAACAATTTTACAATGTGGAGAGAAACTAGAGGACTGACAGGTCAGTAAGGGCCCAGTCGTGTGCCTCACCATAACCCCCTCCCCCTGCTCTATTGTTAGTAATAGTAACCTTGACCTTGCAGTTAAAATATTTTTCAACCCCTATAGCACATATCTACATATCACAGTGCATCACTATGTCGTGTTAAATATCAACCCCTATAGCACATATCTACATGGCCTCCAAGAAAGCTGGGTCCACGTCCCGAGGCTGGGTACGTTGGTGCTCAGTGCGTATGTGATCATTTCGGGGGTATGATTGTGGCGCGCTGGGCGTCATCGTAGCAGAAGGCTTTCACAGTAGCTCCAATTTGAGCCAACCTGTTTGCCGTGGGTTGCATCTCGTATTCCTGGGGGAAGAAGATCCTGGTAGCTGAGCAGAGTCGGAATCACTGTCAAACTCTTGATAGGAAGGAGACATGATCCGATATTCTGCAACATACTGCTTTGGCTTCGGACTCTGGGTAGACGAGAGGTGATATGGGCCCTCTATCACCAATCGGCTGGGCACGCCGAGCCCTTGGTTTACATACTCCCAAGAAGGCGGTGGCTCAGGGTCAATCGCGAGAGTATATTCTTTCAAATAGTATGTATATTCATACGAGTATACTATTCTATGTATCTCCGACACTTGGCTCTGGATATCCGCGTCACACCAGTGTCCCCTTGTTGGGCTCCGTGGCGGGTGGAGGCATAGATCGTGAAACAAACAAATATACACATGGGTAAAGATAAAAACCACCAAAACGACGGACATAACAAAATCAGGCACGATGAACCCAAACCGCAACACAGAACACCCAATTCCCGCAATTCCTTGTGGTGACCTCCACACAGAGTGGTAAAACAACGGCCGCGTTGTCTCCACTTCTGTTGAGGAAGGGCATCCAGGGAATCGCAGGGGATGTGAAATCCGTTAAGCCATTGGGATCGGGCGATCTCCTTATAGAGGTTTATCGCCAACAACAGGCGATGAACCTACTCGGAACAACCAGTTTTGCTGGCATCGGTGTCAGTGTGAAACCACACTCATCACTTAATTGCAGCAAAGGGGTAATCAGGTGCCCAGCCTTGCGCAATGACATCGATGAAGACATACTGGCATATTTCCAGGAGGAGAGCGTCCCGGTCTCTGAGGTGAGGCGGATGGTGATCAGGAGAAACAATGATACAATCAAAACAAACACCTTCATCATCACTTTTTCAACGCCAACACTACCCCAAATACTAACAATCGGATACCAGAGGTACAACGTTTCCGTCTACATCCCAAATCCATTGCGATGCCGAAACTGTCAGAAGTACGGTCATCACGAAAAGCGATGTAGACGAAAATCGATCTGCCAGTATTGTGGCCGTGAGGGTCACACCGAGCAAAATGACTGTGACATCGCCAACCTGCGCTGTGTCAACTGTGAGGGGAAGCACGCTGCCTCTTCTCGCGACTGCCCTACCTGGAGCCAGGAGAGGGAGATATTACGGGTTAAATATACCCGAGGTGTCTCTTTCCCCGAGGCCAGGAGGATAGTCGGGAGTGCAGACATTGCTACACCCTCTTACGCACAAGTGACTCGAGGCAAGGCGCCGGTTGACAGTGTCACGGTCAAGGATGCTTCGGTTCAAGTTTCTGAAGACATACCTGCCTGGGGCTCACAAGTCCCAGACATGGCTGGTCAACAGAACTTGAAAATCCTCACGGGGGACCCATCCCGTTTCACGAC